TCTTAGTTGTTTTCCACGCTGATCATACTAAAGTTCAAAACATCGATATTGTTGCAATTACAAGGGTCGCGCCAGCTGCGAACGCTGTCAAATAGCAGTATAAATATGAAGCAAAAACAGATAGTTTAAAGAGTGAAAATTTAAGGTTAAATCTGAAGCGATGCGCTGACAAAGTACCGTTAAGCTGGAAACTATGTATTTGTATGAATTTCACCTGGCGGCCAATGACGACTTGCAATCTTCTTCTTTGAATTGCAATATAAAACAATTGCTCATCTTTAAAACTCCCTAAGGCATATGATGCTATGGTGGGCGCATGGCTACCATAATGGCTGGGCCTATGATCGAAAAAAAACGGCGTCAGTGATGGCTATGAAATGAAGATGGAACAATCTTTGCTAGCAAGAGTATATAGAGGTATGTCAGGATCATTTCAAGCAGACGCCATTTCGGTATAAAGTTTATAAGTGTCGCTGCTAGACCACGAACTACTTCCTGAGAGACACTATCGTGTCATTGATCTGGTCGGTGATGCAATTCGAGGAGATAGAAAATATAAAATATTTATTATATTTCCACTGTCTATTGATTTCTATGCGTCTCCAAATTCAACTTCAGCTGGTGTAATGCTTATAGTGGCCTTCGCCTTATGAAAATAAACAGCTCGGCAGGTAATAACGACTAAGAGACTGATCCTATAAAACATTTATTTCGGCCTGCAACGCAACCTCGTTAACTTTCGTATTTTAACAGGCTGACGAACAAAAACTGGGCTGTGAACATTGAAATACTTTATTTGAAGATATAACTGTCGAAGAGCAATGATATGAATTACGAAAAGTAACAAAAATCTTCGAAATTACTTCCGGGCTGGTACCCAAGCTGCGGCGCCAAGCTTGGTAAAGTATCTGAACATTAAAGCGCATAAGGCTAAATAAGTAATCCCAGCCCATGTGATACGCTAAAATCGCTAATATAAATTTATTGTTTTCGAAACAAAATCACAACTATTCTGCCAAACTACAAATAGTACACATCTTTGAAGCGTGTTGACGTCTTCGCGCCACACACAATCGGCACTAAATGCTGGCTGACTACGCTGTAATAAATATTTTTTAAAGCGCGACATTGTCTTCTTTCTGGGTAAAATATTGCAATCGGTCTGAAATCAATAATTATTTTAGAACGAGCGCAAAAATGGTTAAACAATATGTCAAAATAACAAGTTAGTATTTTAAAACCTGTATTTAAGTACGAAAGCTAAAATTCAAATATTTCAAACTAAAGCTGTATCGATCAATTTTCAAATATAACAGAAAAAATATCTATCTTAAAGATTTTGATTTAATACTCTATTACTTCTTCATTATTAAAATACAAAATACGGTATAAAGATTATAAAAAGGCATAAGATCTCCAAATTATCAGAAAAATAACAAAAGGAAGTCTGAGAATTGGTGCTGTGTGTGTGAAGTGAAAGCAAAAGACTATGAAGTGACTAAAGCAGTAAAGCAGCCAAGATGAAATCAGACCCATTCTGTGTATGCTGGGCTGTAACATTTAAAAATGGTGTGTTAACATTAATTAGGTATTTCTGCCTGGTATACTATGGCTAAAACCGGTAAAAATAAGAACAAGCTGTGAGCAAGGAAATTCATAAAAATTTCGTAATATGTAAGTAAAATGAGGAAATTACATGTAAATATATATAAACACTGTAAAATCAAAAACAGCTGGGCAGCAATTTCGGAGGGTAGCTGCTGGTACTGTATGATCGAAAAACGACATCCCAGTGCTGGGCCAGTATCGATGTTCCCATGTTGCAAATAGCAAAATGACGGCAATCGTATTTCATAGCCGTGAACCGACAATGTCTGACCAATAGCGGTATTACTAATACTGCGCGACAATATAAAAATAAAAACAATTTCACCATTATAAAATAATTTATTTCATTACAGGCAGAAGTAAACAAATCATTTTACTCCGGAAATAGAACATGCTATTTCAAACGTCACAAATATTTTTTTAAACAATTTCAAACTTTACCAAATATTAAAGTAATACTGCTGTAATAGTATCGTATGATCGAATAAAAACGGCGTCAGCGATGGCTATGAAATGACAATCGATGACATTTTATATAAACACATATAAAACGACAGCGATCTTCATTTCATGGCATCGCGGAAGCCGCAGCTTCGATCGCCCGTACCTGTCGAAACGCTGGTCCACTCTGACGCATATCAGTTTAATATTTAAAGATTCTTTTATTTTATGCCTGAGCATTGAAATTGCTTTAGCCTATCAATCACGTCGCCAAATTAATACTGTTGCGTTAACATGGTTTTATAACATATCTGAATAGAGCCAGGCCGAAAAGTTCTGTTTTACATCCTGTTCTGAATCGTGCTGGTATTTTTAAAAAAGAACATAAATACTAAAACAAAAAATGGTGTAGATATGTCAAAATAATAAGTAAGTAGATATTTTAGAAAAGAACATTTATTTGGTGGAAAAACTGATAATTCATATATCTTTCAAATTAGAAAGTATCTGAGTAATTACTCTGAGCTGCTTTAAAAAAACCAGATATTAAAAAGTAAAACAGAACCCCATTATATTAAAGTTCGCCAATGTCAGAAAAAAATTGCTAAATAAAAAAGTATGTGCTGAGAGACCAGGGCCAAGCTCTAGTTAAACAATGTCAAAAAAGGGTTTTTGATAAATTGCGCGTCAGATCGCTATGAAAAATACACTGGGCTACGTGGGTACAGTAAAGAACGTTGATGGGCAACTAAGCGATGACTATCGGCTGCTGTCGACAGCAAATACGTATATTCCAGCGAAGGCCAGAGAGTGTATAAGTAATCACTGGGCACATAATAAAAACCATAAAGCTGCCGGATTAAATAAACGCCTGCCTGCGCAAACAGCAAAGAGCTGTATAAAAATCTTGGCTTTAGATGAACAGCTGGTATGTCGGTAAACTTGCTGGTGGGCTTCTAGTATTATATTTAATGTGCAAATATATTATTAAATTTTAATCATGGGTAAGCCTGTTTAATCTAAGCATTAGTAATAAAACTATTTGTGCCGGTGCGAAATATAACGGTAGTACCATGTGAATGGCAAATAAAATAACGCCAATCGTGATTTTACTCAGCAAACTACCTCAGGCCTGACTGTGAAGAGTAAAAACAAAACAATCGCTTATTTGAAGTCAGGCCCATAGGCAACCAAGCTGCAGAAAATTTGAATAGAACCTTGATATTTATTAGTATGTCAATAAAATGCTGAATGAGACAGTCGACACGACGCTGTTACATAATATATAAATACCTTACATCTTTTCCGACTGCAAAAATTTTGTTGGTAAACTTCTTGAAAATGCGACAACCTGACTGTTTGCTGTTTTAACGTTCAGGGTTACTGTTTCGGAAGTGGACGGCTCTACCAGGCTGGCTGAGCAAGTGGAAGCATCTTCCATTCGTTGATAATGTTCTCCCGACCCTCCAGAACATCATCGATAACGCGTTTCCCAACGATTACTCCTTTGATCTGATTGGACGGTGCAATGCATAGACAAACCACAGAACAAAAGCTTTTGTTAGTTTGTCTATGGTTCAATGACGGTTGGTTGCGTATTTTAATGTATTTTCTGTTGTTTATACTGGTTTATACTAGACTAACTTGACTTAGTTTGTGATTTATAAGATATACTATATATAAAGATCTTTCTTATAATATTTGTTATAGAATCAAATCTTATAATACTATATATGCTTTGTCTGGAAAATAAATGTTAAAATATCTTAATCTTGCATATCCTTCCATCCTTCCATTAGGAAAAATATGGTTTATAGATCATATATGCTAAGAAAATCACATAAATTAGGTGTAAGAATAGAAAAATCTTCAGGTAGCAGAAAAATTAATGGAATATATGTATAAGCAGAATTAAACAAGGTAACTGTAATGTTCCTGAAGCTGATTCTACAGTTTTAATTAAGGAGGCTAAAAGGCCTCCGTAGTTTTAATGGAATGTTAAGAAAAACCTATTATGAACATGATATGGAGCTACAGCATTTAAAATTAAAAAAAGAAGAAACTTGGACACATATCCCTGTTAATTTTCCGAATTTTTAATAAAGCACTTTTTAAACGTAGCGTAATAATCTAAGCAATTAGATTAATTAGAGGAATCTAGAGTTTTATTTCTATTTAATTTTATTGACTATGAAAATACATAATAAGCGTTCACGTGTTGTGCGAAATATTAAAATAATAATATAAATAATACTGTACTATGATCGAAAAAAAAATAGCGCCAGCGATGACTATGAAATGAAGATCGCTGTCATTTTATATGTAAATTGACGGGAAATGTCCTCAATCCTCATTTCCCAACCAACTGGACGCCGTTTTTTTCGATCATACGGTATAAGTACGGTATATATTGACAAAAAAAATACTGAAAAGCACATATTTGATTTCTACTGAAAATAATTTCAAAATAACTATGCAAAATAACCTGCAATCTGGCATCATCGACGATGTGCGCATGCGAAGTACTTGTGACTATATGCAGCAAAAACTCGTTTCAGGGTGCAGCCACACTATCCTAAAAACGGCGTATCGGCGTAACGGCGTAATGACCTTGAATAGATTTCCAGTAATTCTATCGGCTGAGGGGCTGCACCCTCAAGGTCAGCCACCGGATCCACACCTTTACCCTTGCCTTTACCCTAAAATTATATACGTTTTTATTTTTTTTATTTCTGACATACATAGAGAAGAAAAAAAATAGTCTTTTCAATCAATTCCACCCTTGATTTCAGTCTAATGTCTACGATCACATTTTTATATGTATCAGGCGTTAGCTGCGAGCACTATCCGGCCTGCCTGAGATCATATATATTTATAGTTTGTTGGCATTATTGATATCATATATTGAATATCGCCAACATAAAGAAGTCCAAAATTAATATTCTTACTGTTGGTACTGCGTAATATTTGTGATTTTTAGGTTGGTAGTTCGGAAGTGTGGTTAATTTAAGATGGCTGTCATCGACGTTTTCTTTTTCTGATGTCCAAATAAACTTTAAACTTTTACATTTTCTTCAGTTTTTAGTATGTTTTTTTATTAAAAGTATTTTTTAGTTCCTTAGTGAAAGTTAAAAGGTGTAACAAGCAGTAAGTAGCATTCATCCAAAGGCATATTGATCAACATGATCGATTTTGACATTGTATTTCTTCATTCAAGTGATACGAATTTCTTTGTAATCTTTGAAATAACAGAAAATTCCTGAAATTTGCTCTCAAAGCATTAATTTACGTTGCAGGTAGTTACAAATATTTAGAAGATTATATTAAGTAGGGTAAATAAAAATTGAGATCAGAAAGATGTGGTCCCAACAAAATTATTCCTTAAACAATAAGGAAAACAAGTCAGACGACAGAACATTAGGGATGACTTCGGCGATTTCTGCCGCTCCCCCAAAAGAAATAGACCTAGTAAGGACCAAGGAACTTGAATTAGCACTTATACCTTTCGATGTTTTTGAAACAAAAGAGGAACTGGACCATCGCCTTTTCATTTTGGGGAAGTTATACACGCTGGTTAAGGAATGGATCAAAGACTTGTCAATAAAAAACAACATGCCAGAAAGTATAGCGGAAAGTGTAGGAGGTAAAGTTTATACTTTTGGAAGTTACAGACTTGGAGTTCACAATAAAGGCGCGGATATAGACGCACTTTGTGTAGCCCCAAAACATATATCAAGATACGATTTTTTTCATTCATTCTATGAGTTACTTAAGAAGCAGCCAGAAGTGACAGAATTGAGAGTAAGTTTTTAATTGGTTTTGGTGAATATTTTACTGTATGTGGATTTTTATTTAGGCTGTCGAGGAGGCTTTTGTACCTGTTATTAAAATGAATTTTGATGGAATAGAAATCGATATGTTGTTTGCCAGATTGTTGCAAAAAGAAATACCGGATTCAATGGACCTGAGAGATGATAATTTGTTAAAAAATCTCGATCAGAAGTGTGTCAGAAGCTTGAACGGTTGCAGGGTGACTGATGAAATACTTCGATTAGTTCCAAACATTGATAATTTTAGATTAACTCTTAGAGCTATTAAGCTGTGGGCAAAGAGTATGAATCAATATAAATAATAAGTTAAACTGTTTTTAAATTTTTATTTTTTAGAACACGGGATCTATAGTAATGTTCTAGGCTACCTGGGAGGTGTGTCGTGGGCAATGTTGGTTGCTAGAACTTGCCAGTTGTATCCTAATGCAGCTCCGGCAACGTTAGTTTATAAGTTCTTTTTAATTTTCTCAAAATGGCAGTGGCCGCAACCTGTGCTTCTCACTCAACCGGCTAATGTTAGTTTAGGATTTAGCACATGGGACCCCAGGGTATGTAATTATATATTAAGAGTTGCCTGATATTCTATATATTTTAGTTTCAATAATTAACCCTGTATTTAGATGGTAACATTTTTGGAAACGTTGAAGCTTTCTTCGTTTTTCACACAGTGTTGCCCAGTATTTTGAAAAAGTGTTATATCAGCTGATATTTTGAGATTTTTACTATATTTTTTTACAGAATATGATGGCATAAATGGAATGGTCTTTGAAAGATGACCATTTTTAGAACAAGTTTTCTGCACATTTATAGCCTTCTCAAAATTACAAAATAAAGATTTTTTATATACATAGAAGTATTGTATAATTTACAGAGTCTTAAATAAGTGCAAATATTTTCAGGGCTCGTAGATCTTGATAAAAGAAACATATTTTCTCTCTACCTTTTTCAAAAAATTTCAAAATAACGGATATATTTTATTTTGGAAATTAAAAAAAAAATCTTATATTTTAAGAATTGCTGTATCTTTTCTGGGTTTTCTATCTTGTAAATTTAATCTACCATCTATGTTGCCATATTATTATGAGAAAATTATGTTTTTAACTAAAAATTAAAAGAATTTCCAAACATTTTTCAAAAAGTCCCAAATTTTTAATTTTTATTTTCGTGAAAAAAAACCCTCAGACGTAGTTCTGGGGCCAAAAAAACCCAAAATGGGCTACCCTGTATTTTACTGTCTAAATGAATGGTAGTCTTTATCATAATTTATGGTTCATTTTAGATTTTTTGGCGATTTTTTGGAAGATTTTTTTATTGATTTCTGTAGGTAGATTTTTTTTTGATGATTTTTCATATATATATACAGGGTGAGTGAAAACGATCAGTAGTACTTTCCCCGCTAATTCAAATGGACTATCCAGTATTTTACAGTATAAATAAATGTAGTTTTTAGTTTTTATCCTACTTTATGTTTTGATTATCATTTTTGATTTTTTGGATGATTTCTGTATGCTAATTTTTTGATACTTATTTTTAGACGCTTTTTTTATGTTTTTTGGGACGATTTTTGTATATACAGGATGAGCGCAAACTACTAGCAATTGTAATTTCTCCACTGATTTAAGTGGGCCACTCTGTATTTTTTGGTATAAATGAATGTAGTTTTTATCCTACTTTATGTTTTTATTGTCATTTTTATTTTTTTTTCTGTACGTGTTTCTTTTTAATACTTATTTTTTGATATTTTTTTTATGGTTTTTGTATGTGGATTTTTTTCGATTGTTTTTTTTGCATAATTTTTGTATACCGGGTGCGCTGTCTCAGTTTTTTATTTTAAGATAAAAAAAGATAAAAGTAATAGATAAAAAAAACGAGATTTTACTATGTTAGTATATGACATAAATTAGGACTTTAGTCACTTCCTGTTTCACCGGAAATGACTACAACTTTTGATTTTTAAATGACACCCTCGGTATTTTTTTACTTTATTCTATAGAAAATGACATTCTGAATAGAATGACATATCATACGTCAACTTTTGAGATTTTCGCTTAATAAAAAATCGTATTTTAAATTTCAATCTAGAGTGCAAGTTAAAAGAGAGGCTGTGTTAGAAATACTAGAGGCTGTGTTAAAAATACTCATTTTTAATCAGGGAGCTTTGGAAAAATAGACAAAGACTACAAAGACGGGACAGCCGGCAAAAGATGAAACGTTTTTGACTTCGGCTCTCAGTGACCTCGTCCCTTTAAACTGCGACTTCTAGGAGACTTCCATTATTGCCATACTGATTTTGATTCAACAAAATTTCATCATAAATTATGCATGCTATAGTATAATGAACATATATTCTTAATTTCACTCAAAATGAGTTATTTGAGTCATAAATGACCTAAATACAAAATATTTTCATGGTGTCTGTCTGACTGTCCGTCTGTAACACGATAACTCAAAAACCGATTTTAACCAAATTTGGCACAAAAATACTGTGGCACCCGAGAATCTGGCCATTAGTTTTTGGTGGGGGTGGGGGGTTGGTAAGGGGGTATGGGAGGGGTTAAAAATTTTAAAAAATCGTAACTCCAAAATTACAGTAGCTAGCGAAACGCGGTTTTCAATTTAAGATTAGGAATAATATTTGCAACAAAATTTGTAATAACATCAAAATCAGTCAAAGTCGCAGTTTTTGAGATAAAAAAAATTGGAAAAATTCCTTTACTTTGAAACTAAAAGAACTGCTTACCAACTTTTTATTAACATATTTTAGTATAGGCGGCCCGGACGTGCCTCCCGGCGCCAATTTTTTCAAATGGAACGAGGGTGGCTCATTAGTATATTTGGAAAGAGCATTTTTTTAAGAATAATTTGATACCACACACTTGGTATTTGAGTCAAATTTTCGTTATAAACCGCATGTTATAATTTCAAATAAACCATAGGCGCAAATGTCGAAAGTTGACATATGATATGCCATTCTATTCAGAGTGTTATTTTCTATCGAATAAAGTGAAAAAATACCGAGTGTGCCATTTAAATATCCAAAGTTGTAGTCATTTCCGGTGAAACAGGAAGTGACCGAAAAAAATAATTGAATACGTCAATCAATCCTAATTTATGTCATATACTAACATACCAAATCTCATTTGTTTAACTGAAAATATAAAAATGTTATAGGGGGTGAGCCACTTTGGAGACGCACCAGGTATACAGGGAGAGTGAATAGCAGTTGTAATTTCTCCACTATTTCAAATGAAACATCCTCTTTTTTATTATATTATCGCATATTTTTTAAGAAAGATTGGAGTAAAAATCTCAAATAAGAAACCTGATATGGAGATTTTTTAGATTACTGGGCCATCCTGTAAATTCCGAGTTGTTCCAGTTAAAAACTAAATCTAACCAGAAAGTTAACTTTTCCCAAATATTTTTGTTCATTTTTAGGGTTTTGGTTAATGGTAATTTTAGATTTTAATGACTTGCCTTGGTAAGAGACGTGTGATTTCAAGAATTTGCGCGAAATTTTGTTTGTAGAATTTTTTATAAAGTCCTATTTTCTATACTGTACAGGTGAATGTTCAAGATAGGTACCACCTTATGCCGATAATCACGCCGGCGTACCCGCAACAAAACTCCACGTTTAACGTGTCTCAATCGACCCGAGCCATAATGATGGAGGAATTCAAGTTAGGGCTCCAGATAACCGACGATATAATGCTGGGCAAGACGCTGTGGGACAAATTGTTCGAACCTCCTCAATTTTTTATGAAATATAAACACTTTATTGTTTTGATAGTGGGATCGGCCGCGGCAAACGACCATTTGGAGTGGACGGGTCTGGTTGAAAGCAAAATCAGGTTTTTAATTCGTAAGTAAAGCCCGCTCTACACGTCAAGTTTTACCTGTCAGTCTTACCTGTTGAATATTTAATGCTTTATTGATTTTTATGATTTTTTATGGACAATTTTTGAAAGATTTTTTTGATATATTTTTTCTCTGTTTTTTTTTTATGTTTTTAAGATGATTTTTTGTATGATTTCTGTATGTGATTTTTTTTATTATTTTTTGGATGATTTTTTTAACTTTTTTGCGTAGTCACAAAATAATTTATTCTACACATTCTATGGAGATATATTCATTAGTTCTTTAGATTTTTTTGGATGGTTTCTCTATGTGATTTTTTTTGAAAAAATTTTTCTATGATTTTTTATGTTTCTAGGATGATTGTATGATTTATATATGTGATTTTCCTTGATATTTCTTTTTTTGAAAATTTTTTAATATTGTATGGAGATATTTAGTTGTTTAGGTTTTTTTCGATGATTTCTCTATGTAGATTTTTTTCCAAGATTTGGATGATGATTTTTTGTATAATTTCTGTACGTTTTTTTTTAAATATTTTTGCCTATTCACTAAATAATTTAATTTTATAAATTGTATGGAGATATTTAGTACTTTTTTGGGTGATTTTTTTTTCGTTGATTTCTCCCTGTATGCGATATTCATAAAATAATTTAATTTTATAAATTGTATGGAGATATTTAGTACTTTGTGATTTTTTTTGGATGATTTCTGTATGCGATTTTTTAGATGATTTTGAAGTTTTGGATACTTTTTTTGGAAGACTTTTTTAGCCGACCATACCAACGGGTACGGCAGGCTATTAAGATCGGCAAAAAAAAGGTTTTTTTTAAATTCACTCAAAATGAGTTTGAAATGGGACATAAATGACCTAAATACAAAATATTTTCATGGTGTCTGTCTGTCTGTCTGTCCGTCTGTCCATCTGTAACACGATAACTCAAAAACCGCTGAACCGATTTTAACCAAATTTGGCACAAAAATACTGTGGCACCCGAAAATCTGGCCATTAGTTTTTGCTGGGGGTTTGGTTTGGTAAGGGGATATGGGAGGGGGTTAAACATTTTATAAAAATCGTAAACGCGGTTTTCTATTTAAGATTAGGAATAATATTTGCAACAAAATTTTTAATAACATCAAAATCAGTCAAAGTCGCAGTTTTTGAGATAATTCATTATTAACATATTTTAGTATGGGCGGCTATACGTGCCTCCCGGCGCCAATCTTTTTTGCCTAGTTTTACAAAATAATGTAACATTACAAAACTGTATGGAGATATTTTATACTTTGGGTTTCTTTTATGTTTTTTTTGTATGATTTGTGTCTGAATTTTTTTTATGATTTTGTTAAATTTTTATGTTGTATATTTTGTTAAACTTAATATGTTTGCCAAAGTTTTTTTGCCAAGTCACAAAATATTGTAATTTTACAAAATTGTATAGAGATAATTAATACTTTGATTTTATGATGGTTTGGATGATTTCCTTATGTGATTTTTTGGATGTATTTTTATGATTTTTTGGATGATTTTTTTGGACCTTAAAAATCTAATATTTTTGCAGAATTTTACAAAATAATATAATTTTACAGAAATTGTTTAGAGGTATTTAGTGATTATTAACAAACGATACGATTTTCACAATAATTATTAGCTTGGCGTGTTTATAAATGAAATTTAAACAAGAAATACAATTTTGTAGTACAATTTCACATTTTCTCTTTTCAACTTTACTAAACGCAATGATATAAATTCATAAAACCGCAGGTAAAATACCAGTATGTACACTAATCTTTAATGCGTCTTACCTATCAGGTTAAACGTTATGTGTAGACAGGGCTTATAGTGAAATAAACCAAACTGGAACTTTATATGCCTTATAAACTTATATTTCCGGAATTTTAGAAACGTTGGAGCGCAACGAGGCGATAACGCTGGCTCACATCAACCCGGAATGCTTTTCCATGCCCGAGTCGCAAAGAGATCCCAAATCACTCTGTTCTATGTGGTTTATCGGATTAGAATTTAAGGAAAAGAAGGGGCTGAACATAGATTTAACGAGAGATATTCAACAATTCACGGAAACGGTAAACAAATCGGCTTTGAGCATACAGATGTATAAAGCGACGATGAATTTGGAAGCCAGACACGTTCGAAGAAGAGAAGTAAGAGCATTTTTTTCTTTATTTATAAAAAAATATTAAATGTTGTTTGATTATTAGCATGATCTTTTCTGATGTTTTTTTTATATTATCGAATAGTCAAGAGCGAAACAGAGCATCTTCCTCGAGCTGGTGCACCAATGAGTCTGTTTTACAATTCTTTGTGAAAGTGAATGAAATTATTTATTACTTTTTTATTTTCCGCGTAAGAAAGTATTTGTTACACGAAAAAATCTATTTTTTACACATAAAAACTATTTGTACTGGGCAAAAAATATTTTTTACGTGGAAGAAACTATTTGTTAGACGTAAAAAAATATTTTTTTATTTTATTACTGTTTGAACGTTTCAAACTATACTTTTTCAAACATTTCTTTCAAATCCTTCAATTTATTAGCTGTTAGTAAGAAGTTTTGCTTCAAATATGCGCAAATAGTGCACACACATTTTTTTATACCGGGTGCGTCTCAAAAGTGGCTCACCCCAATTTTTTTTTCTTCAGATAAAAAAACGAGATTTGGTATGTTAGTATATGACATAAATTAGGATTGATTCACATATTCAATTATTTTTGGTTATTTCGTGTTTCACCGGAAATGACTACAACTTTTGATTTTTAAACGACACCCTCGGTATATTTTTACTTTATTTGATAGAAAATGACACTCTGAATAGAATGACATATCATATGTCAACTTTTGACATTTTCGATTAAAAAAATCGTATTTTAAATTCAATCTAGAGTTCCGTGGCTGTGTTAAAAACACTAATTTTTAATGAAGGAGCCTTGGAAAAATAAATATGAGAGTCTGATGTTTTTCGTGTCTTGTCCTGGCCAGTTAAAAGATCCCCAAATCGTATTTTTAATCATAGTTCAATTTTTTCAAATGGAACAGGGGTGGCTCATTAGCATATTTGGAAAAAAAATTATGAATAATTTGGTACCTACTTCACGCTTGGTAATTCGAGTCAAATTGGCGTTATGTTACAATTTCAAATAAACCATATGCGAAAATGTCGAAAGTTGACATATGATATGTCATTCTATTCAGAGTGTCATTTTCTATCGAATAAAGTAAAAATATACTGGGAGTGCCATTTAAAAATCAAAAGTTGTCAACATCCGTGCCGTTGTCAAAATCAAACAATTGAATATGTCAATCAATCCTAATTTATGTCCTATACTAACATACCAAATCTCGTTACTGAAAAATTAACCAATTTATAGGGGTGAGCCACTTTTGAGACGTACATATCCAGTATGCAGAAGTGTTGACAATGTTGTCAAGATAATTGGCCCAAAATTAGCTATCTTTTTAATTATTTCCAACTTTTCAGTTGCATCAATACCTTCCTCCTGGCGTTATAAAGAGGGAGCGGAAGTCTAGCATTACAAGTAACAAAAATGGCACTCAACCCAACCCTGAATTGCGCAAGAGACCATCCACCGAACCTGCCGACGACTTGGCTGCGAACAAAAAGAGCAGACTATCCGGTGACGTTAACTCTGTAAGTCATACAACGTATTTCTTCCAGGAAAATAAGTGAATCTAGAGGAGGATATGTTAGTGCACCTCTAGGTTCATTTTTCCCTAATTATATCTTAAACAGTTTTATTAAAGTGAAAAATATTGACAGTTCGATGACAGTTCCAATAACTCACTGAATGGTGATGACTCCTGTAGCAGTACGGGCGCCGATACAACAGCGTCTAGTAGTACCAGTCCGCTTAAAATACCCACAATGCCTAAAGTAAGTATCTGTATTTTATTCTAGTTGTATTAAATGTAGTAGTTCAAATGTACCCGATTTTTTACTTATAATACGAGGGTCGTCTGAAAAGTGCTCCTGATTTGATTCGGTCATATTAAGTGAAGTAGTTCAAATGTACCAATATCTTATTTGAATTTTGACTTATAAACGACTAACCAGTTGCCTTTATTTGATTCTAGTGGCATTAAATGAATTAGTTCAAATATACCATTGTTTTGTTTGAATTTTTACTTAAACGAGGGTGGTTTGAACAGTTCCCATGATTTTATTTGAGCGGCATTAAATGAATTAGTTCAAATGTACCATTGTTTGGTTTGAATTTTTACTTAAACGAGGGTGGTTTGAACAGTTTCCATGATTTGATTCGAGCGGTATTAAATGAAGTAGTTCAAATGTGCAATTAATTGTTTTGTTTGAATTTTTACTTATACGAGGGTGGTTTGAGCAGTTCCCAAGATTTTATTCTAGCGGCATTAAATGAATTAGTTCAAATGTACCATTGTTGTAGTTTTTAGGTATAATACAATTTTTTTAGGCCAGATTTAAAGTGTTTATATTTAAGTGTATATATTTTTATTATTTTTAGCCCCATTTTCATATTTTTTTTAGCAAACTGTATATAATTATATCAACTTTAATTCGTAAACTCAGTTTTTTTTAAACTTTAGTATTTGGCATATTATACAGAATCGAGAGGTTGTTTTTTTACCCTAACTTTAAAACACCCTGTGCAATAATTTCGTGTGTATATTTTCCTAAAATATAATTTTACGGTCAGAACCATATCTCCTGAGTATTTTGGTTTTTATATATGTATCATGTCAATACACGCCTTGGTTAATTTTTAAGAGCGAAATGAACGTGTCATCAATAATTTGCAATTTTTTCAATTATCATTTCTTTTTGAAGTTATTTTTCAATATGACAAGGCGGCTTTGGTGATTATTGTTAACTATATACTACTATGAACTGCCCATCATGTTCGACGTTTGGGAAATGCTTGGCAGGAGGGTTGGAGGTTATGAAGCGGTACCAGCTTCATTAAATGAACTTTGCTTGGTCCTTAAAGAAGAATGGGAAAACAACGCAATATGATCTATGCAGCCTCAATGACAGTATGAATGAACCTATACAGGCAGTTATAGTAGCCAAGGCAGGCAATACAATGTATTAGGGTAGTTTTTACATTTTTTTTTCTGTTTGTAGGATGATATTTTCTTTAATATCGTTAGTTCTGTTATTATTAATAATAATAATATAACCCAGGCTGTATCGTTAGTCTTTAACGTTTTTTTTTTAAATTTAGTATATACTATCCAATGCAGCGTATTATGACGTTACGACAATAATCACCAAAACCATCTTGTCATACTAAAAACTTACATCAAAATGGAATAATTGAAAAAATTGCAAATTGATCAGTGATCAGTTCATTTCGCTCTTAAAAATTAACCAAAGCATGTATTGACATGATTCAAAAAACAAAATGCTCAGGAGACATGGTTCTGACCGTAAAATTATATTTTAGGAAAATTTACACACGAAATTATTGCACAGGGTGTTCTAAAGTTAGGGTAAAACACAACCCCTCGATTAACCCTATATAATAGGCCAAATACTAAAGGTTATAAAAAACTGAGTTTAAAGTTGATATAATTATATACAACTTGCTAAAAAATTCATGAAAATAGGGCTACAAATAACAAAAATATAACGCTTCAAATTTGACCAAAAATTTCTCCTTTCCTTTTTCTGCATCTGAGTGTATGAATAACTTTTTAATATAATTTTATTTTTCTATTCTTATTTTACTGTTCTTATTTTGGTATTTTTTATTGTTTAGGTACCCCCAACTGGAACCCAAGAGGCCGTCTGCACGTGAGACTGGTTACCATGGTTGACTTGGCCTACTCAGCGTCGAAAGTAAGGTACAAGCGGTGTAAGATTGCGCATACGTCTCCGACAGAGGCGCAGATTTTTTTTACTCTATCGGTATAATTGAGTAAGTAGTTCGCATCTAAAGTGTTTTAATGCCACTCTACATTAAAACACTGTAGCTTGTATCAACAGAATTCCTTTCTAGGACAAACAAATTCAATCTCACCAATGTACATACAACTCAATTCGCAAATTCGCTGGATCATTACAAAAAAAAGTCGCGAAATTTCGATAGTAAAATATTATCGCAAGTGTGCAATTATTTTTCTTGTGTCTAAAATTTATTTTTTTTCTATTTTTATAGCGTGGTTTTTGTCTGCGTGCGTGAATGTGAATTGGAGTGTTTTTTTTTCGTGATCGTGAGTTCTATATGAAAGAGAAAAATCTTTTTGTTACAGATTATATTCGTTTAATTATGTATCTGAATATTTTTGTGTGGACTAGTTTCTAAGATAAATTCGATATAGAGATATGTTTATAGTATCAAATTAATATTACTGTGTTGCGGTAATATTTTACTCGTTCACGTATAAACTATCGAACGGATGACGGTTTCAATTCAAAACGAATTTTAAGCAGCGCCTTAAGTAGGATATATTATTATGTATATTTATATATTTTTATTTTTTGATAAGTTCGTTTGATTTTTTTTCAATGTCTGCCTCCCGAGGTGGTTGAAGAGGATCTATACTCGAACGAAATGTAGTAATATATTATTTTCTCGGTTCTGAACGTGTTCAGAGCCGCGACGAATTAGAACAGAGCAAGAAAACGGGGAAAGTATCACTGTTTAAAGTTCATTTTGATCGGCAACGGGCGCGCTATATCCTTCGAAACGTAGCTTTAAGTTATTTGTTAGAAATTGATATTCTAATAGGTGTATTCAGTGTCTCTTGTAAAGCAATCGTCAAGACGAAAATAAAGTATTTTCCCCATCATCTTGGTGTTTTATTTATTTTTTAGTCCTGTGAATCCCATAAAACATTGAATTTATAAATAGTATATCACCAATTTTAGTAAATTGGGGATGTATTATTATCACCATTTTGCAAAAGTAATTCTGCTGTAGAATGAATAATAAGATATATTATACCAATCTGGTCATCGAAACTGTGTGGTCTGGATTTTAACATGTAAGACAGTGATGTAGACAGCTTAAATGAAAAATCAAATGTATTAAAAAGAGATAAAATTTACGTTGGTACATTTAAACAACTGTGTAACAGAAATGAGCATAAAAAATGTCTATATCTCTGTCTGTCAACTGGTTGTATATATTTATCTCTGTCGTATGCATTAGTATTAGTACAGGGCATGGAAATAAAGTGACCAAGGCTAGTATACACTCATAGAGTCTGGATTTTTAAACGTAAAAATATTATATTTTATATAATGACGCTTTTAAGGATGTTTGTAATCTTCTTGGTACCATGGGTCATTTGACCTACTCGGCAAAGAAAGTAAAACTAGTGTAGTAAGTGTGCAAATGTGTCTCCGAGAGCTAGTATCTCTCGGTCTTATATCAGCAGAATTTCTTTTTTAAAACAAACAAATTCAATCTCACCAACGTACAGGGTGGATAAAATTGGACGCTTTTAAAGGGAAACACCCTTTTCTATAGGAGAAAGACGAAAACTAATATCGGTGTCTGGAGCTCAATTTTTAGCAAAAACATGATGGTGAAAACCGCACATCGATAACTGTTACCCTTTTGGAGTTACGGGTTTTTTAAAAAAATGTGCATTTTTAACAAATCGCTGTAATTTTTTTGCTATGGAAAATGTATTTTTATGAAAACATTTCCAAAGCACCTTTTTACGTAGAACTTAATGGTTTAAGTATAATTTTTTTTAAATTAATAATTTAAGAGTTATCAACAGAAAAATTGATTTTTTATTTGGAACACCTTGTATATTTTTAATTAGCTGAAAAGGACTTAAAATTACCTTTACATAAATATAGCACACTTAATATTTTGTTATAGTCCCCTTCGAAATACAGAATTTTTAAAAGTTCGCTCACTTTAAATGGTAGGCTTTAGACCCCTTATTAGTGATCTGTCTCTAATGGAACTCGAAAACATATTTTTCCATTAAGACGAAGCACAGCCTCAGAACGCTGAATTTATCAGCAAATTTTCTAATCAAATCTAATTTGGAGAATATGTGAATAGCTAACCAAGATCCCAGCCGTTGGCGGTCGAGGCCGCCAGACTTAGCGCCTATGGATTTTTATCTTTGCGGAAGAATAAAGGTTCTTATTTTTAAATTGCCCGTATAATCTAGACAAGAATTAGAAGTGCTTAACGGTTATGCGAGGGTATCTTTCACCCCCACTGAGTTAATGAATTCCGCGAAAAATGTTCAAAAACGGTCCCGTCTGTGCATTACACAAGACGGTCGACATGTCGAATACCTGTAACAAAATCTCATGTCTTGGTTTGCTATTTATTTTTATTGTTATTATACTTTAAATGTGTTCATGCTAAATATAGTTTAAATTGTTATAAAATTCTGCATCTCTCATTGCACATATTATTTTCGTTTTAATTGCTGCTCACAGCTAGATTTTTTTTGCATTAATAGCCGGCGCCGTTCAAAGCCTACTTATTCAAAGTGGGCGTATTTTTAAAAACTCATTATCTCGAAGAGGTATCGAACAAAATATCATGTATGCTATATTTTTTGAAAGGTAATTTTAAATACCTTTCAATGAATTAAAAAATATACAGAGACTCCCATATAAAAAAATATTTTTTTTAATTAAATTATTAATTAAAAAAAATTATACTTAAACCGTTAAATTCTACGTAGAAACATGCTTTGGAAATGTTTTCATAAAAAAACAAAATTTTCTATAGCAAAACAGGTACAGCGATTTGTTAAAAATGGGCATTTTTCAAAAACACCCCGTAACTCCAAAACGGTAACATATCGATGTGCGGGTTTTGCCATCATCTTTTTTTGATAAAAATTGAGCTCCAATACACTGATATTAGTTTTCGCCTATCTCCTATACAAAAGAGTGTTTCCCTTTAAAAGCGTCGAATTTGGCCCACCCTGCACATACTTGTTTATTACGAGTTTTTAAGAATCTTTTGAAGAAGTCTTTTGTTGTCCCTTAAATGTACCTAAATAATTAAAACATTATCTTATGTTTCCTTCATAATTACCGTTTTAATTTAAAATCAATAATTCATTCACCCAGAAACTTAGACAAAGTTTACAAATAAAAAAAAATACTTCAGCGACATAATACAGGAAAAAATCCTTAAAACAACCCTTTTTAAACACAGATTTGGCTGGTTTTAGCTCTATCGATCGCACTACTGCGCAAGCTCAATCCAATCATCCAAATAAATACTCCCTTACATTTATAGAGCTTTTTATATGAGTAATTCATTAGGCCAGATGCTTTTCAGGATCTCGTCGTTCAGAGATCGCCAGCATCCCGATGTAACAAAATTTTTCGTTTTAGTTTTTTTCGATTTTTTCAAGCGATGTTAGTGTTGTACATAATTTATTGTGCTTGTTATGTATCCCCTTGGGTGTTAGGTAAGTGTATATTTACATTATAAATACAGTATTTAATGTTAAGTTACTTATTCTTACTAATTTTTTGGGAATATTCCCACTAACACTTCTTAAAAATTACATTTAATTGGTTCTCTTTTATCAATATTTAAATAGTTTTCTTTTTTAACAAATAAGTTAACAATATAGTTAGGTAATATTAGTATCTGTTTTCTTCTAAAATTTGTTATTTTTAAAAAAAATTAAATGTCAAGAATATATTCTATGGGTCTATTGATTAAAATAATAATAAATAAAGTCTGAGTTAACAAAAATATGCTTTTTCTACGAAGACTTTAAGTGATAGCCAGAAAATAGCGTAATACAATTTGATAGGTAATTAAATTTTGCATCTGATTCTTGTATAATACAGTGTGTTACATTTAAATCAGTCAATTACATTTTCAAATCGTATCTGATAATATTGTTTGCTTCGAAATAGATAATAGATATTTTAATTTTTATGATTTTCTGTCAGTAGATCTTCATTATTTAAAAAAATCTAGGGTGACTGTGATATACCTTTTGTTAATTTAACAAAAATTAACAGATGTAGAGTAAAATATTCAAGGGTAATAAAAAATACACGTTTAAAACATATTTTAATTATTATAGAATTAAAACTAGATATTAATTATGTGACAAAAATTAGATAGATATAATCAAATGCTTCCTTTCCTGTTAACTGCATAAAATGATTCTCTGTTTTCAAAAGATCTTTTCATTTTATAAAGCATATGTCGTGGAGTTCTACTCGAAAAGCAGCTACAATTATTTCTCTCATGTTGTCGATAATAGTTGGTCAAGTTTTGTAAACACTTAACATATTCTCTTAACATATCCCTATACAAAACCAGACTAGATAAAATCAGAGGCAGTTAAGTATTCTATTAATTGGCGAATGCACACTGCATTCACCAACTAATAGAATCATAAATATGAATTTTCTCTGATGTAGGATAAGTTTGCATTTTCGGCAAATTTCTGAGAATTTTCTTTGTTTTTTTTTAACTGAAGAACAAAATGATAACTAGTTGTTAAAGTTCGACTAATAAGACAGGTATGTTGAAGTAATATCAGACATATCACAGCCACCTAGATTTTATCAAATAATAAAGATCTACTCAAATCAAATCATGTAAATGAAAATATCTAGGAAAATCTTTTGTTTGAGGGGTAGGTAACTTTAATAGTATTTTGAAGAGACATAAATATCATTGAATATCGGAATAACATACTGGGTGTTCCATTTAAAATAAAAGAGTAATATGCTTTTAAAGGTGACCAATGTTCTATATTAATTTTGTCTCACTCTGTATAACTTTTTGGATCAAGTTTTAATTTGATTTAAAGTACTTAATTAATTAATTAATTAATTAAAGAAATTAGGCTATATCAGGTAAGTTTCAAAAAGTTGGCCTCTGTGTATCTCTCAAATTATCAGCTAATTTGAAAATATAAAAATACTATCAGATAGACCTTATAAAGGGGCTATAAGAATGTGCAATTAGTTTTTTGATTTTCTTAAAATCTAACCAAAACGACAGGAATTGCCTCAAAAATAGTTTATGATATTTTTTTAATCGCTTAATTCCATGACAGCTACGGCCAATATTATATGCCATTCGAACAATTTAATTTTTGAAATAGATAGCCACATGGCTTCTCTTTATCTCATAGTGGCTGTAATAATCACTAAATTTGACGTTCGGTATATACACATTTTTTGACAGACAGTTTTTTTCGTTCAAAATCGTTTAAATATTTTTTTCTCAAAAATGGTTAATGTTAGGTGTAGAGTATTTAATATCACAACCCATAAAATTTACTCGTGTCTAGCTCCAGCAAGGCAACTATTAAGCTTAACCAATCACGTTAGAGTTTTTGTGGTGATTTAGTGTTTTTTTTTTGCTTTTTATTTTGTTGCTGGGGCTAGACACAATTTAAAATTTTACAGTTAATTTAAGTATGTAATAAAAAATGGGGGTAGCCATTTAAAATAAGAAAGTTGCTGACAATTTCCGGTATTTTCGGAAGTGCCGCTATATTAAAAATATTTTTAATCGATAGATCTCGTTGAAACAATAATGTTCAAAAAATCTCCGATCTAGATACTGTAGTTCTTTAGAAACTTTTAATGCACGCTCAGCCTAGGACACCCTGTATATCTAAAATCTAATATTACTTAATTTTATAATTATTATTATTACTTATTATTCATTTTATCTTAAGTCATAAGTCTAAGCCTAATTTTTTGGTCCAAAGTGTTCAGCCGTAATAAAAAATTATAATAATCACTAAAGTTACTAACTTTTTTAGCTACCGTTATTAAGAATAAAACCTCAACCACCAAGCAATCGTTAGAAGACTACTACTACTTGAACTACGATTATGACGCAAACAACAGCTCCAAGGAGTACAAGTCTGACGCTTTAATAGTACCCAATCCTGACACCATGAACACCAAATCCTACGCTGTGGACGTCATGCCGAGTCTGGAATTGCCAGACGATTCTCTGGCCGATCCAGACCTCAAGGACCACAATTGTATCGATAATATAATGTACGTGTATTATGGAGGAAATGGAAAGAATTCCAAGAGTTATGGGACTGGGATTATTATTATTGGATCTGTGTTGAGTTGCGCTGCACAATTACTAACTTTGTTTTGTGTACTACTGAAGAAGTACTACAAAGGGAGGAAGATCAGTATGATGTTGATTGTCGTTCATATTTTCTTCACCATGTTTTTGTCGAACCTGATTTTTATGCTGGGAGTTTATGTAAGTAGTGTTTTTACCTTAATGTTGAGATATTATTTGAGAATGAAAAAAAAATCTATTTTATTTACAACCACATATGTAATACTGTAATGTGTCAAATTATCTACATTTCTTCCCTCTTCCATTTCCCTCACTCGGTTTTTCTTATTTCTCGCCTCATTTAATTAAGCAAAACATTTTTGTAATATCTTTATTAAATAATTATCTAACATCAACAAAAATAAACAAGAAGATTAACAATAAAAATTGAAGATTTTCATACATTTATTTGTTGAAGGTAAAAATGTTAGACCTCTTTGGTTTAAAACCTACATTCCGTTTTAAAAAAGCGACGAGTTTGTGATATTTTGATATGTCAGTCTTTTCCCTTAATTCTAGCATTGTCCGTATCATGCTGTACGTAGCCCAAAAGTAGATGGCTTTTTCTGCCTTGCCATGTCGCTAAAATATGCCATCAAGACTGTCTCCGAAGCAATATTCTTAGCATTTCTTTCGACACACCATTTTTCGTATACTTTCAATGCTATTTTATATCGCCTCCTACTTTTCTCTGGAAGTAAACTGGCTTCTGCTCTTTTTGCAGCTTCTGTAAGTTCTGGTGGAGTACCAATATTAAAGTAGTCTTCATTATCAGAACTTTCCGACAACATTCTGGCTTTCTATGTTATATAAATTCGAAAAAGCGTACGAGAAATTCAAAACTGTCACTTAGTTTGTTTTGCTGTTGAAGGTTTGCGCCAAATACGTTTAAAATACTTATACCGCGGCCTCCACATAAGAGCAATGAGATAATTTATGTCCCAGCATTGAAGGAGGACAGAAAATCGAGTCGAATGGTTTCAAGACATAGGTTCATCCTTGTTTAGTCAAACCTCCTACCACACAAGGATAGACTTATGTAGGAAATGCATTGAAATTCTATAGCCATCCTTTAACATCGGGACAGGAATTTAAGCGGTACCCTCCGTATAGGTAATTTAAACGTATTTGGTTTGCGCCATAACAACCACTGACCACTGGTGCCGGTAACTATAAATATGCTATAAATATGGAAATGCCAAAACAGAAAACGACAAATTTTCGCATATTTTTTTTCATAACAAAAAAAAAATTGTCCCTATTTTTTAATTAATGATGTGGTTGTAAATAAAATAGTATACAAACTTGGGAGGATAGTTTTCATTATTGTCTCGAGATTTAGTTAATCTCTCGACAGTAATGAAACACTTCCCTCCTCGGTATGTAATATACCGGATGATCGAATAAAAACGGCGTCAGCGATGGCTATTAAATGAAGACCGCTGTCATTTTATATGTAAAATGATATGGGAAATGTCATCGATCGTCATTTCATAGCCATCGTTGACGCCGTTTTTTTCGATCATACGGTACTATTTTTTAACTAAATCCTAAAACTACTATGCTTATATGCCAAAGACATTCGTCCGTTACGGAGTTGGGTGCAGTCAAGCATCAGGCTGTCCACTTAGACTACCATTAATATGTTTTATGATAGTATAAATAAGTCAATATACAGGGTGGTCCGAACTGTATTCCGGAAACTTTTAACAGCATATTCTGCAGATAAAAATAAGTAAAAAACTTCGTATAAATGTACTTCCTAAAATGCTTAGTTTGTTTCTTTTTATTTCGTGTTGTGTTTCTCGGCAGAGTCGTCAGGGAACGACCGTTACGACAGAGACAACCTATCTATCGCTCGTGTCGCACTCGTTATAACCTAAAACAATAACACAACAATAACAAGACAGTGTCTGACCGCATGTTCCAGCTATTTATGAATGAGATGCTCAGTCTATATTTTATTTTAAGTCTATGGTTTTAACTGTTTTGAAAAGAAATAACTTTGTCCGTACCTGTATAAAATTAATGAGTGAAAAAATATACATTTCCGTTTTTTACGTAAAAAATGTCTCTTGGTAAAAATCCTTACAAACAATAGTTCTCAAGATATTTAGAATGGAAATAGTCAGTACATGTCATTATTGACAAAAAATAAACATGTTGAGTAGATTATTTGACTGAAATGATAAATTTGGGAACTTTTTATTTTTTAAATTAATCACAAATTTAAAAAAAAAAGATGATAAAACAGTTTCTGTTGAACTTTTGGCACAAAAATATTTCAAATTTATGATTTCAGTCTAATAACTATTTACTCGACAGGTTTAATTAATTTATGTCAATGATGACAGGTATTGATAATTTTAATTCCAAATATCTCCAGAACTATTAGTCGTAACGATTTTTACCAAGACAGACCTTTTTTACGCAAAAAACGTCGTAAATGTATATATTTTTCAGTAGTTTTATGCAGGTATGGACGAAACGGTATTACCTTCAAACCCGTTAAAAATATGTAGGTGGCGCCCTCTGCAAGTAGGAGTCCTATTGACATCAAAATCAAATTGCTCATGACAAAAAACTCCTAGACACTACTTTTCATCCAAATATTGACGTCACTTCAAAAATTATTTGAAAAAAATCGAAATAAAAATGAAACTTCTACACCCTGTATCTCCAAAACTAAACATTTTAGGACATACATTTATACGAACTTTTTACTTATTTTTATCTGCAGAATATGCTGCCGAAGTCTCCAGAATACAGTTCGGACCACCCTGTATATAAGTCAAGTTAAAGAAGCTGTTTTTATATCAAACAATAATATTTTTAGCAATCCAACTATGAAAATTTCCACAATATAGCAACCACTTATTAAACGTTACATTGCTGGCGTCCTCAGCGGACAACTTCACGCTTGACGGCACCCAACTCCGTCAGAGATTGATTGGGAGGGGGGGAAGTTAATCACTGCAACCTTATAGAGCTATTGTGTCCCTCTTTTTTGACTTATAACTCATCATATGTATATAGTCTCTCTACTGTACTGTTCGAGTCGCTCTCAGGGCTCGGGTAAAGCGGGTGTGTGGCCGAAGGAAATATATATTATATTTCAGAAGCCTAAGGCTTAGCCCGATCCTGTTGTGTTAAGCCACACCCATAATTCCAAACACACATGCTCTGATTAGGGCTTGATTAAGGTTTGCAGAGCTTCAGCACTTACCATAAAATAGCAAGCAATTTGTTACAAAACCATATAAATTATATATCACTGTAATCAAAAAACTTCAACCTATTTCCGTATTGTAACGGAATTTTAAATTATGGCTTTATTTTCGAGAAAATTTAGTCCAAACATAAGGAATATTTTGTTGATGTTTGACCATCAAAATCTTAAAAATAAAGAAGTTGTCTAAAAAATGTGCTACAATACGGATATAGTATAATCCTTTATCTTTAATTTACTTTATTCGTTCGTGTAAAAATACCTAGCCAGTTTTACATAAAACGTTAAATGCCGAAGGCTTATTTTGCTTTTTCGGACTAGTGAAATGGACTCTTAAATAAGCTCAGTAATTATAGGATTTAGACAATACCAGTCCAAGTACATATTTTATTTCATAATTCATCATTGTCAACCACTGGCAAAGCAACATTATTTGAATTTTTTAACGATTTTAAGCAAAGAGATACAATATTATCTTGTTTTTTTTTGTTATAGTCTACCAAGAACGTCGAAAACTGTCTTCTTATAGCCATTTTAATAAACATATTCCATCACCATACAACAATATGGATATTTTTGTACTGTTTATACATATATAAGAAATTCTGTCGCACTTGGATATCCGTCATTTTCAAGAACATCAACTGGTACACTCTGGCCACTCATTTACTTCCTCCAATTTTGACTTTGGTTTGTCAAAACTATTTTTTTGTACATTCTTTACCATAATATATTCTTATTTTTAGACGACATATTACGCCGTTCCCAAGAGCTTTGAAACGAAAAAATTCTGCTTCAAATCCATGCACAGAGGTATGATCCTAAACTTCATGATCCCAATATGCGTTTTGCTGATATTGACTACGATCTACGCGATCAGTGCCATGATCAAGATCGAGAACTTGGAGGTGTCCAAATTGGGCTACCACTACCACAGCGAGTCTCTACAGGCCCTGAACAAGGAACTGGAAAGCTTGAAAGAGAAGAAAGATGATGGTGACGGCGGATATATTGATGAGGAGTTGATGAGCTTAAAGGCGGCGAGAAATTGCCTGAAATCTCTTTGTGTGATGCAGCTGATGTTTGTGTTGAACTGGTTTGTAACGCCTTTAGCTCTGGATGCCAGTCACGAGAGTACGGAACTTCCGTACCTGCAGAGTACCACTTCTATGCTTTTGGTAAGCAAAAATTGATATACCGGGTGCGTCTCAAAAGTGGCTCACCCCTATAACTTTTTTTATTTTTTCTGATAAAAAAAAACGAGATTTGGTATGTTAGTAAATGCCATAAATTAGGATTGATTGACGTATTCAATTGTTTTCGTTCACTTCCTGTTTCACCAGAAATTACTATAACTTTAGATTTTTAAATGGCACCTTCGGTATTTTTTACTTTATTTGAATAACACTGAAAATAACACTCTGAATTGAATGACATATCATCTGTTAACTTTTAACTTTTGACATTTTCACATATATGGTTTATTTGAAATTATAACATGCGGTTCATAACGAAAATTTGACTCGAAATACCAAGTGTATGGTATCAAATTATTCGTAAAAATTGTTTTTTCCAAATATGCTAATGAGCCATCCTCGTTCCATTTGAAAAAATTGAGATATGATTAAAAATACGATTTTGGCATCTTTTAACCGGCCAGGACAATATATTATCCTCAGAATAACTGTAGTAATATTAAATCTGCTTTAGAGCAACCAAACTTGCTCTAGAACAACTGAAATTGCTCCATAACTGCTATGATTGCCTTAAAACCAATAACAACATTTTAGAACTGATAATCTCACTTTAAAACTTCCTTAAAATTATTCTGAGAATCGAAACGATTTTTTAGAACCGCAAAATGCTTAGAAACGCTATATTTATCCTTAAATTGAGATTAAAAATGCTAAATCTGCTTTAGAGCAGCCAAAATTTCTTTAGCACCACTAAAATTGCTTTATCATTGCTAATATTATTCTGGAACCACTGAAAACGATTTAGAACTGCTAATTTCGCTTTAAAATTATCGCTAATATAATTTATCAATTGCTAATATTATTTTAGAACGAATAAAACGATTTTAGAACTGCTAATTTCGCTCTAGAATCGCTAACTTTGTGCCCTGGAATTGCTTTAGAGTCCCTAATTTGCCGTCCTCTTTTCACGCAGTTGAGCAGCTCTGAACTGTTCAAGAACGCGATACTCTCACTCCATTCAATTGAGTCATAAAGTTCCAGAACTGTTCCGTGCCATATGGCGGCACGAGGCTATCGTGCACAGCTCCTTTCAGAACCGTTCTCGAGTAGCCCTAGGGCGTAAAGCCCGGAACTCGAAGTTCGCGAATGGAGGACAGCAATTGTGTTCTCAAATTGATTGTAGAAATGGTAAACCTGCTTTAGAGTAGCCAAAACTGCTTCAGAACAACAATAACTGTTCTATAATTATTAATATTGATCTAGAACTTAGATTATAGTTGGGGGTTGGAACCTTTGGTGTTACACAGCAAAATAAAACACTAAATCACCACAATACACCAAAACACTTTATACATTTACACTGGTGTGAAATACTGTTACTATTGTGGTGATTTAGTGTTTTATTTTGCTTTTTTTGTTATTCTAGAACTACTAAAACCATTTTTTAGATCTGCTAATTCCGCTTTAGAAACGCTGAAAATAGTTTAAAATCGCTAATTTGCTTGAGGGTAGCTAAAATTAGAACACCTAAACAGCTTTGTTTGTGCTAGAATTACTAAAACATTCAGAACTGTTAATTTCGCTTTAGACTGCTAAATTTGTTCTACAACTACTAAACGTGTTCTAGAATTGCTTTAGAATCGCTAAATGTGTCCTCAAATTGTCTTTAGAACTGCTATCTCGCTTTACAATAGCCAAAGAACTGCTTAGAACTGCTAAATTTGTTCTAGACTCGCTAAATCTGTTATATATATAATCGCTAAATATACTTTAGAACCGCTAATATCGCTCAGAACCGCCTTGATTTCTCCACTAAAAGTGCAGAACGATTCTATTTAGAATGAGTATGGTTAAGTAAGTTATATTTTTTGTAGAACTGGTTCATGTTCTTCAAAAGAAAAACTCTTCTGCCTCAAATCGACTACGCGGTCGAGGAAGACTCGGAAAAAGAGAAATCCGAGGAGGAACTCCTGTCTTCCGCCACGGAAGTGATCAGTTTGTCGTCTTCAGATAATATTCCGCTGTTGAACGCCGACAGCGCCACAGAGTTGAAAGAATTCTGTAATATTTCCGATGCCAAAGACGGTGCTAACGACTATAATATTTCTACTATAAGTACTTAAGTTTAAAGAGGAAGATGAGATTCTGAGAGTAAAGGATAGTTTACATATTTTTTAAAGATGCGTTGTGGTTATATGGAAATTTTATCTGATATTCTAAAAAATATATACCAATATACGAGAAACTAATATACATCGGTTGATTATAAATCATTTTGACATATTATTGGACATAAAAACAAAATGGTACTGTGATTTGTGTTCTCTCCACTGTCTTCCAAAATCTGTATTAAATAAATAAGGCTAAAGAGGTAAAAAATTAAATAAATAAGACTAAAGACACTGGATCTAATTTGGTTAGATCACGAAGGGGTTACAATATGCCTGAATTGACTTCCGGTTAATCCAATGACTAAAGAATACAAGGACATGTAACGCCCATATCCGGGCTGCAGCAGAATCTGTGATGATAGACGCCATTTTTTGGGTTGTAGCGAATGAGCCATCAGCGATAATTTTAGCAATTTTTAATAGTTTGTGTGTAGTGAACTTTGTATAAACTTTATTACAATGGTGATTAGTTGTTCAGTTTTCAACTGTAAAAGCCGCAGCGATCAATCAGAAGCCAGGAGTTCCGTTTTTTATGTAAATAAACAGCCCACTCCATCTTTTTAGCGTTTTTTTAATTGAATTCGATAACTATTTTTCTGATATTACTATATGTACTTGATATGTGCTATACATCGATACTAGTTTTGTACCTTTTGTTAACATTTCAATAATTTTTTTTCGTAATTAATTAGTATGATACCACCACCGCATACACCATAGGCGTAGTCAAAACATTTATCAAAAATATAAATATCCCTTCAAGCTACTAAGTTAGAAGGCATGTTAAGAAAAATATGTGCCACGGCACTGTACTTGATATGTGCTATACATCGATACTAGTTTTGTACCTTTTGTTAACATTTCAATAAATTTTTTTCGTAATTAATTAGTATGATACCACCACCGCATACACCATAGGCGTAGTCAAGACATTTATCAAAAATATAAATATCCCTTCAAGCTACTAAGTTAGAAGGCATGTTAAGAAAAATATGTGCCACGGCACTGTTTGGTGGCATGGTAACAATTTAGTCTTGGGTGTTATTTTTCCTTGTATTCTTTAGTCATTGGGTTAATCAGTAGCATCCAATTTTATTTTTTTTCGAGAGAATAACTGACAGTGACAGTTGGTGTCTGTTATTATAATTCACAGGTAAATAGTATTTTGTGTCATTGTTTGAATATTCCATAGATAAAGGAAATAAATTTAGATTGGAAAGCTCCAAGGAAAGCCCGTCAAATTATATAATTGTTTTGGGTCGCGACCGTTGTACGCTATCTGGCGCTGTTATAGAGGTTACAACAACCGCCAAACAATAACAGAAATAATATTCTCTTGTTAAAGTCAGAATCTTCAAAAATTATAAAATCGTTTAAAATTTAAACCGCCCTCATTGAAAAAATACCGAAAAGTGTCTAAAGCGTCCATTTTCAAAGTAATTATTGGTATCTTGTGAGTTTAATTTAAGTTTTACTTACTCAAACCCGTGATAAATTGTGAAAAAGTGGCATTAAAAACTAAAAAACTGTGTTGTGAACTGCAAAAACTATCGTGGATCGTGGCATAACGTCGGTTTCCAATGTTTCATAGGTATTTCACATACATGTCCTTATATAAAATAAAGTTTCTTGTATACAACACACTGTATTTTATTTATAAAATTAAAAGAAAATAATAATAAATTTGAATAAATAATATTTGGCGACATATTTCTGGAAAAATTCCGAAATTATCAAAAGCTTTGGGTCGCGACCGTTGCAAGAATAGCGCCAAATAGTGTTTACAATATCCTTATGGACACTTTCCAATCTAAACTTGTTTCATTTATCTATAGGATATTCTTCCATGGCTTGATAGACAGACGGACAGACTTTTCAAAGGGGAAATCAGGAAGTATGAAAATCCTACTAATTTCGATTGTCGAATGATTTATAATCAGGACCCGTAAATATTTAATTTTTGGTGGAAATGTTAGTGATTTAAGAGACTTTTGCAATAATTCTAAAAGAAATAACTATTAAAGTATTTAAAAATCGATTTATATTCAATATACTAAAAAATTCGGGTTAGTGAGATTCTAATTGTCGTTAATTAAAATCAAAATAATCGTCTAGAGACTTCTATATTTTCCAAATTTTTATATTCTCGTTGTAAAATGTCAAATTATCTTTAAGTAAAGAAATTTAACTGTTTTCAGTCGTTTTACTTCTCTTTTAAATATCTGAATGTTTAATAATAAAATTATTATTAATAAGAATAACAGATTTAAGATAATAAGATAATAACTTTTTTTGTACATATTGTAAATTCGACTTAAGACATCGGCCTACGTCAGTATTATTACTACATAATTTATTGTTAAGTAAATGTGGAGTTGTAAATTCTAGATGTTATACCACTTATTAATGAAGGAATAAATGTTACCAATAAGTACATCTTTTTGTTTATTTGTACTTCTAGGAACATCCGGTATATTAAGGTCGCTGGTTGGAATTCGGATTTATCAGTGGCAATTGTTTGTTTAAACGTGTTAAAATTTAGTGATGCAGTACTGGCACACTAAATAATTTGTTGTTTTTTATGTTTATTCAATGTGTAATAGGTTCGAGACTGATATCCTAATATTTTGCGCTGGATGTATACCATGGTAGTAAGACCTATGATCAGGGCCGGTTTTAAAGACCATTGGGCCCCAAGCGTTTTTTTTCGGGCCCCCCTACCCTACGTTTGTTATACATAATGATTATGGTTAGGTATGTAGTGTGTTGTACGATTTACTAAATTATCTACGTAAAAAAAAGTCGCAACGAACATAATGTATTTAATTAATTAAAAAAAGGTCCATCGGCGGAAAAAATTCCCACAGTTTTGGAAATGGTTATAAACGATTCCTCTAGACTTGTGTTGATACGTGTCAAAAGTCCCCGAAGATAAACGAAGAGCTCGAGGAGTGGGGAGGAGTTAAATGTCAATTTTTTCACTCTCTCTCTTTTTTGCTTATATCTCGGAAACTATGACATCTACTGAAAAACACTCCATACACAAAAATAAAGCTGACAAAATTCTCTATAAAAATGTTTCTATACATTTTTGTTCCCGGATTTATGATTTCCGAACTATGCCCTTCATAAATTTGGATACTAAATTAAATGGCATATACCAAATCCGTACAAACACATTTCTTTTCATTGCACGTTTTTCGTTCAAATAGCGTTGAAGAAGTACGATATCATGATTGTTTAAGTATGTATTAAGTTTAACTTTTAGTATATACTGTGATTTTATAAATTTTAGACGTGATACGTTCACACCAATCATTCCTTGACTGCGCAAGTTATTTGTTAACATAAATAATGTTTTCTATTCATTTATTTTGCTTTATATTTTTGGTAAGAATCAAAACCAACATGTACATAATATATTAAAGAATCAAAATAAATAATAATACATTTATAAAATAATAGTGAATTATTATGATTCTGAATTAATTTTTGTGTTGGAAATAAGAAATGCCTTCATATAATTCTTCAATTCAAAAATCTTATAATGAAAATTAAAGCACCTTATCTTTAATCACATAATATATTTTTTGTAATTTAAATTTGATAATATATTATACGTTATAATACAAAATTAAAAAAGAATTTGAAAGACCTACTAAAAAAAAGGCGGATGAAAAAAATATAACCTATGAAAAAAATGTATTCAACCAATTTTGTAGAGAATTTTCTAGGCTACAATTTTCTATATAAGGTGTTTATTCGTAAGTGTCATATTTTCCGAAATATCAGCTAAAAAGAGTCATAAAAGTGGCATTTAACCCCTCCCCTCTCCTCCAGCTCATCGTTTATCTTCGGGGACTTTTGACACATATTAGCACAAGTCTAGAGGAATCAATTAAAACCATTTTCAAAACTGGGATTTTTTTCCACCAATTTGTCTAATTTGACTGGGCTATTAAACATTTTAAATAATATTATACAACATTTAACGCAAAAATAAAACATTTATAATTTTTGAACAAAACATAAAAGAAATAACTTAATAAATAAACAATATAAAAATTTGGGACATTGATCAAATGTGATTCTTTCTACATTTCTCTTTTACAAACTGGTCAATTATTAAATTGCAATCTAATTTTTCGATATTTGATCCTTCTATGATAATATCCTTCTATATATCATCTCCTTCTACATCCGACTTATATGTATTTTTCAAGATATTGGCAGACTCTTCAAATGCTATCTCATCGATATTGCTAAAAAACACTTAAAACGTTCGTTGACAGTGTGATAGCTTTTAATTCGTCTTTCAAGACCTTGAATTATGGAGTCGTATTGCGTAATGGGCTTCCACCTTAAACTTCTTTTTGCCACTTAGGTGAACTGCTTTTTCTTTTGATTCATTAAAAAATACTTTTCTTTTTCTAGTTGAAGAGAAATATCTTCTTTATAGGTAGCGTCATCCACTAAAGTCGCTGCCTCAATTTCGATACTGTCAAAATTTCCACGGAATGTTTGAACAAATGATACCAGTGACTTCAATAACTCGATGCTAGTAAATATATTTAGTGATGGATCTTGCAAAGCTTTGGTCGTAGCATTAACCTTTTCTAAGATTTTAAACCATATGGTAGTCAACAATGCAGGTTCGAAATTTTAGTTAAAACATTTACTTTACCTTTTTTAAAAGACCATTTATTTATTAACTTCTTCATTTTTATATTTATATTTTTTTTATAACCGAAATAAGGGCCCCTCGAGGCCCGGGCCCCAAGCGGCCGCTTGTCCCGCTTTATGTATAAACCGGCGCTGCCTATGATTACCTATGGAGAAGTTGCTTGGTACACAAAACTAAAGTAACGTATAGCAAGGCAAAACCTGTGCAAAGTACAGAGACTGGCATGCGTCTGCATCACAGGTGCCATGAGAACATGCCCAACAGCAGCAATGGAGGTCATTCTAGGCCTAACACCACTGCATATTGTCGTCGGTAGATATGCCAACGCGACAATGATTATAATGGTCATTGACGGAAACAGTACTGGGAGAATTCTCAGGTCAGGGGCCTGGAACACCCTAAAAAAGGAAATTCCACTCCTCCAACTTCTAGTGGATGATATACCAAGAATGTTCAACTTACCATAATGTACAAGACCATACCATAACGTGGTATACTGATGCTTCTAAAACCAAGGCAGGGACAGGGATAGGAGTATTTAGGCCGAAAACTAAATACTCCGAACCAATGGGCACTTACCCTAGCATGCTTCAAGCAAAAATCTACGCCATCGGAAGATGCGTACAATTTACTTTAGATAGGAACTATCGAAAACAGGAAATAACCATTTTATCCGATAGTTAAGCAGCACTAAAAGCGATCAACTCAGTAACCATAAATTTCGGAGGAACAGAATTAAATTATTCTGGGCGCCGGGACACAGCGGCATCCAAGGCAACGAAAAAGCCGATGAGCTAGCTAGGCAAGGATCATCGGCATCCTATCTTGGTCCAGAGCCAGTACTGGGAATACCCAATGTATGGCCCGTAGTGCACTCAAATTCTGGATCAGGGAAAAGCAGAATGTCCACTGGAGAAACAGACATGGGTACAGGAACAGCAAGGCTTTTATCCAAGGACCTAGTTCTAAAACCGCAAAAGAACTGCTAATGCCTAGCAGGAATAAAGTGCGGATTACAACAGGCCTCTTGACAGGACACATGGCTGTCAAGTTTTACTTGAACAAGCTCAACCTGTATCAAGGAAGTATCTGCAGACTCTGCGATAAATATCCTGAAACAGCGGAGCACATAATGTTACTGCGAGGCTCTGGATCGCAAGCGACACTTTATTTGGGAAAGCTAAAGTCGCAGTGTTTCCGGCAGAGGACGGCCCCTTGTTATGGAAAAAAACATCAACTCGTAGAAACCAACTTAAAGCAGAACTCAAGGACCTGGAAGACTCCGTCCGTAATCTGGAATGGGAATAATCCAACGGTCTAAGACACTCAAAGAAATTTCTTAGGACTTACGACCGAGAATTTTTCCTAGATTTAGTTAGAAGATAGATTCTCTTAGATTTAAGTAAGAAGAATCTTCGGATTGTCATTGGGTTTTTGACAGGACACTGTCTCCTCAATGAACATCTCAGTAGATTGAAGCTAAGAAACAACAGTGAATGCAGAGTGTGGAAAATGGGGAAACACCAGAACATCTCATCACAGACTGCGCCGAGACAACCATTCATGCCATAAACTTTGGTACGACTGATATCGGAGATGGAGAACTAACCTCTGTAAAACCGTCTCAGATATATAATTTTAACTTAAGAAAGGGGGATACAATACTCTCATACTACTATCTTGAATTTACAATGATATACAGGACGTTAAATAAAACAAATCAATTTCAATAATTCTTATATTAAAACAGTAAAACCTAATCGATTTAACAAAGAAACGTAAGGCGTACCTACGAAACAAGCCTTTTTATTTCTTTACATGAGCGTACATATTTACAACGTCGTAGGACTTACCCGCTAGATAAAATTCGATTTAGAATACAGACACTTCTAAAATCAAGCTTAGAAGATCTCTTTGAGCACCATCAAAAAAAACTTTGTAAAATTAAAGGAAACTAAGTCTAGCCTCCACCACCTCCTATTTCATCTTCGTACTGTTTGCGGAAACAGTCACCCATTGGGAAGAAGTCCCAGCATCTTTGCTGGTACATGTTCCATACGTATGTTTCTTGACCAGTGTATTCTGTGTCCGGTTTGTTGATCAAGTGCATGAGGAAGAACCTATAATAGTACCAACGCATTAATGCATCGTCAGTTATTACTAGACAGTTAAAGCACGGCACAAAGTGAATATGTTCGAGATGAGCAACAAATCGCAAATTGCGACTCAATCGCAGCGATTTTAAAATCGCAATCGCAACCTGCGATTGGCTCTCATAGGAAACTGCGACTGCGATTTTTTCTTTTTGCGAGTTTCAAATTAAGCAACCAATTTTATTATAGTCACAGTCGCAGTTTCAATTGCGATTGGAGAATCATAGTTTCGCTCATCTCTAGTATACATATCTCTTAAGACGTAACGCAGAACTTTACGTACGGTTATAGTTGCGTTGTAATGTAATCAAGACTTAAAGTATTTTGAGGTACGTAATGTAAACGATACATTTGTATAAGCAATACCAATTAAACTTTTATTTACGTAATCGATTTTTAAATTCATTGTTGCTAGCCATAGACGTATTCGGCGCCGGGCTGACTAACTAGCAAATAACTGCCGCTGGTAATTCAGGTGGTAGCTCTGCTGTAAAAATTGTCAAACTGCCATATTTATTTATTTATATCCTGACATTAACATTCGTGTTGACACTTTAGTTTTGCATTACGAGTTTTTTAAGCTTAAAAATTTTTACTAGCAGACTTGGCAGTCGAACATTATTTTTTTCAGAATCACTTTTAATGTGAAGTGTACAAGATGCCGCATCAGCTGAATAGCCATTACAAAAAACTCATCCTAACCTTATTAGAATATTTTGAACGGTAAAGCTGTAGTAATGTCCCTTTATGTACTTTAAGTGTAGTTAGGGAGGTGAGTCGATGTAAATAATAACTGTTTATATATTTATAATTAATTTATTTTTGTTTTCTAAAATATTTTGATTAAATGAAAATATGTAAAAGTGGGCAACGCTGTGCCGGTCAAGCTTAATCACGTGACTAAAAGTTTATTTGGTATGACGGCAGAAAAAACTGCGATCGGCGAGGCCTATGATCAGAGTTACTTACATGTAATTAGCGAGGTTATGTTCCTGTTGGACGTGGGTATCGAACCCGTGCGGCACCTTATCCAAATATCCCTTATCCAATCCACAAATGAAACAATTTGAGTCCATGTCTTCTATAACCTTCTCCAACTGGTCACGGAGTTCACCAAAAGCGTCGATGATCAAACCTTGGATGATGGCCAACAGGATGACAATGACGAAGAAGAAGAATGTGATGTCGAACATTATTCGGTAGACCTCATAGTCATCACCATCTGGAGGTTCAATTTCGTCACCTATACCACCACCAGCTCTCACACCTTTGTAAAGATGGAACACGAAACACTGCAAAGAATAGACATATTTTTATACACAATAATACAATAATGGGTGTTAGATCCACTCATATGCAGCGTATAAAGTGATATAATAGACTCGCGTCTAGCGCTTATAATTCTATTTGTTGCCTGGCTATAATATTCCAAGATCTAGCAACGTCGGGAAAACGATAATTTTAAGAATGTTGGTTCTTTAATATATCTTTTGCTATGCCCTTCTGACCAAAGTGCGGGCCGTCTGGCTGCCTTTAGACTACTACGGTTCATTACTGCGCATCACATCTGTACAGGGTATCCCATTTTCGTGTTTTATGGGATTTGTCGTTTATGAGTAGAGATAAAATGATGCGATTTTTACATTACTTTGCTCCTTTTTTATGAAACTAAATATGCTACACATAGGTTTGTCCTAGCCTCCTTAGTTTCTGAAATATAGGGCGAATTTGTGATGCGCAGTAGTGAACGCAACGTCTACCGGCAGCCAGACGGTCCGCATTCTGTTCAGGAGACCATAGCAAAAGATATATTAAATAACCAGCTTTCTTAAAATTCTCTCTCGAAAACTTTGCTAGCTCTTAGACTATAAGTAAAACAGCGAAATCGTTATGGAAATGAAAATATAAAATGGCACCAATCACAAGCAAATCGTATATCCGATGAACGGAGGCATGAAAATGCAATAAATTTTAAAATGCGTAATTTTCTAACCAATTGTAGTCTTTAAATTCAACCAATAAAATTAATATCGTACCGTCGGACAACGGATGCATGAAAATCAAGCTTAAGTGGTATCGTTTACTCTATTACAACGCTATAGTTCTTACCGTCAACATGTCGTGACATTTCCTGTCAACTTCCTCGTCCTCCTCCTGCACGTAGAACTTCCTGAAGAAGTTGAACGCTATGACCGTGTAAATGTACACGATGATGGTGAGCAGCATCACGGTGAGCACCAGCTGTTTTCCGTTGTGAGTGACCGACTGCAAGATGGTGCGCAACGTTTTGAAACCGACAGCGACATCTAGGAGATGAGCGGCGAAGAAGAAGTTGTTGAAGTTACCCAGGATGGAGAACGTGAAGTACCACAGGGAATAGAGGAAGGAGTTGTCGGTGATGGTAACTCCGGATTTCCAGACTTGGTATCTCCAATCGATGTTCAGTATACTAAGAGATAAAAAAGGTTAAATTTAACAAGATTTTATTCTACCGGGTGGTTTTCAAAAGTGGCTCACCCCTAAAACTTTTTTAATTTTTCAGATAAAAAAACAAGGTTTGGTATGTTAATGTATGACATAATTAAGGATCGGTTGACGTATTCAATTATTTTCGGGCACTTCCTGTTTCACCGGAAATGATAACAACTTTTAATTTTTAAATGGTACTCTCGGTATCTTTTACTTTATTTTTTTTAGACAATGACATTCTGAACGCCATTATCATATGTCAACTTTTGACATTTTCACTCAAAAAAAGCATTTTAAATTTCAATCTCTAGATTTAAATTTAAAATGCTTTTTTTGAGTATTCATTGTCAATACTCTAGTATTGACAATGAATTGAGTATTGAATTGAAATATGACTCAAAATACCAAGTATGTGTTAAGAGATTAAACAATTAAAGGTTTAAAAAAACATGTTTTTGCGAATAGTTTGGTACATTATCGGCAAAAAAAATGTTTTTTCCGAATATGCTAATGAGACACCCTCGTCCCATTTGAAGAAAATTAGTTATGATTAAAAATACGATTTTGGCATTTTTTAACCGGCCAGGACAAGACACTAAAAACATTAAGCTATCAAATGTATTTTTCCAAGGCTTCTTGATTAAAAATTAGTGGTTTTAACACACCTATGGTACTCTAGATTGAAATTTAAAAAATTATTTTGGTTTTAAGCGAAAATGTCAAAAGTTGACATATGATATGCCATTCTATTCAGAATGACATTTTCTATAAAATAATGCAACAAAGTACCGAGGGTACCGTTTAAAAATCAAAAATTGCAGTCATTTTCGGCGAAACAGGAAGTGATGAAAAACAATTGAATACGTCAATCAATCCTAATTTTTGTAATACACTAACATACCAAATCACGCTTTTTATCTGAAAAAATTTGGTCACAAGTGAACCACAATTGAAAAACACCCGGTATAAAATATTTCTTGAGTATCCATACTTACTACCAAATGATAGTTTTGTGTCCCTCATCAGAGTCCTGTTGTTGGAAAGACGTTTTTTCCATCCCTAGTAAGTTGCTGATGGAGTCGAAGTCGTAGGTCTCACTGTACTTCTGACGCACCTTTTTCTTGACAAATTTGTCCCAATAGTTCACCGGAAACGATCTGTCAAATAAGACAAATAAATAAATGTAATGGGGTTGGTTCATACATCGAGTATTAGTCCTAGCCTTATCCATAACATTAACCCTAAGAATGTAACCTTAAGAACTTAAGGAAATGCATTTTATACTTCTCCTAATTGTCTTAAGAACATTCTAGTATGCGCTGGTGCACATGAAATATATATTTTGAGTTAGCTTAACTTAACAAATACTTTTAGAATTTAGAAATCTAGAGAGACTAATTTTCACAATGATAGCGTACAAAAGTAGATTAATTTATAATATGCTATCAACAATACACTTGGAGATGATATATAAGTATATCAATAGAAAACTCTCTGGACAACTAAAGCACAGCTCAAGCCTACTATACATACTACTAGAAATCAACAGGAGAACTAAGTTAACATGTAGTATATATGGAAGAAACTCAATCATATTCAAATCTAGAAGGCAATTTTTTCTAAAGAAGAAAATATTCGATTAATGTGTACTACCAGTCATTACCTCTGCATGCAAAACCTGGACACTTAAAACCGACATCATTACGAAACTGCAGGTCAAACAATGCTCGATGGAACGACATATGCTGGGAATAACAAGAAAGACCGTAAAAAATAGAGTGGAGACTACAAAAGATCCAAGTAATAGATGTTATTCACAGAGAATCAAATCCCTCAAGTGGTAATGGACAGGACACCTGGCAAGAAGGACGGACAACAGATGTACCACAAAAATTACGGCATGGTACCCACGAGGAATTAAGAGACTTAGAAAAAGACCAGACCTAAATGGTACCATTATATTAGGAAATTAGCAGGGATAACTTGGATCCGCATAGCCAACAATGGACAATGATGGGTCCGATTACAGGAAGATGTAATTACGCTTTATTTATTAAAAATAAAAATATTTATTTATCTACATAGAGCGACCAGCGAGCCGCCACCTCAACGAGGACAATGGCAAACCACCTTGAGTATATTTGCCTTGTACAGCTTCTCAAATAGTGCCATTCGGATTCGGCGATAAACTTGTACTTGTGAAACACTGATTACACACATCACAAGTACATGCGGGTGATAGTCGACACTCTGTATAGAGTATGGCACTGTAAGGAGAAGAAGCACTTTTAAAGTATTGAACAAGACTTAGCCACTGCTTTCAATGACACCAAATAAAAACTTACTTTGCCGAAATAACAAGTTTATCCCAATGAGACTTCAAGTCATCATCCTCAGGTTGTTCCGCTATATACAATCCTTCAAATTCCAATCTCCTCGCGATTTCCTTTTCCCTTTTAAAGATGGCCAGAGGTACTTTTAAGTGGTAGTACGCTATCAGCATGGCTAGAGATACCAGAGAATGTAAAGCGGCCGCCAGTCTCATCACGTGCGCCATGTAGTAGAAATCTTCGTCCACCATTACCAATTCAGGCGGGTCGTCTTCTTCTTCTGATCCTCCTGAGCCACTACCCTCGACCGAACCTTCGATTATGTCGGAGCCTTTGCCACTACCGCTTCCGCTACCGTCAGAATCGCCACCTAGCGTAGATACCTAACAATAAGAGAAATGCATCTATTAAAGGCAATACAAATCCAAAGTCTATGCGTTTAGGTTGAAACGATTATCTGACAAGCGAATCTAAAGAACCGAAAGGAATGGGGAGTAAAAAAGATGTTTTTGTGAAAGCGTTTCGAAACTGACAGTTTTTGATATTTATTTGAGATTCGAAATGACATTTTTTTAGGCACTAGTATCTAAAAGTGACACTTGTTTAGGCACTAGTGCCTAAAAGTAAAAAATAACATGTTACAAACCATGAAAATATTTATCTTAAAGGTACAATTATTTAAATTATTTAAGTGAATACAAGAGGCATCCAACGTCTCGTCTCTAAGAGAAATGCAAGTTGTAGGAGTCGGAATAAGTAAATTTCTTGTACTGGCAATGCTGGTAGCTTCTGCTTTTACGTGAACTGCTTTTAATTTTTTATTTGGCGCATCTTTCTGTCCCATGATTCTTTTTGCTATTTCGGTTTTCTATTCAATTGAATTTTCAATGTAACCTTCAATAACCGAGCTTGATCGCCAACCTCCATGTCGCTTTAAAACTGTTATGTCCGCTCCTGAATCTGGCAGCATTGTTGCAGAGCTACGCCGGAAACAATGACCAGTGTATCCAATGGCGTTGGAGAGTCCAAGGAATTCCGCTATCTTTTTTGGCATACCCTCAATTGTATTGATTCCAACTGGCAGGGTACAGCATTGATTTTTTCGATACGTCAAGAAAAATCGCTGATGTGTCACATTGAGTGGTCGGTTTTGCGTACTTACGAAATACATGTAAGAAATTGATAACATCTATTGGTCCCTCAGTAATCGTAAACACTCTTGGAAAATGAGTTTTTGTATTCGGAATCTTCACACTAATAAATACTTCAGAAAATAGGCTAGCAATACCTTTTCTGTGAAATTCTCAACATGTTTTTCTTTGACCCAGGTTTCAAAGTTGTTGACTTTTGAACCTGATAGAATTTTGTCATTAAACTGTCATTAAACAATGCATAAACAATGCCTTAGGAACCGATTACCAGAACATTTTAAAAAATGTTTAAAAATAAATAATAATAATAGCATGAAAATCTCAAATTATCCGCTTTCACAAAAAATCTTGTATGAAATTCGTTGCGAAAAGAGTGTTTTGAACACTCGACGCATTGTACAACTCGGCTTTCGGCTCGTTGGACAATTTTGCGTCCCGTGCTTAAAGCACATTCATTTCGTAACTTGTTACAGTTACATAAATAGCTATTTCATGTTTAATGAACTTTTGACTGGTTAAAATTAATAAACTAAGAAACTTTTGATACTTGCCTTGTAGAACAATAACATGAAATTGATGCAGAAAGCCAATACCAAGGCGACATATTTCAAATTGTAGAAGTTCCTGGCCAAAAACGAGACGGCTCTGTGGGTGTAGGCGCTGAAATTGATCTGTTGCATCGCCGATACTTCGGTAGTTGATTTAGCCTTGTTCTCAGACTCGATGGCTTGCATAGCGGCCTGTTGAGCCGCCTGAGCTTCCACTTTTTCTTGGGCGGCTAACTTGGCTTGTTCTCCACTGAAAAAGTAGATTAAAGATAGTTAAATCGAGTACTAGCACTAACAATTTAATGAATTTTATCCATTAGAAAGGTGCCCGGTGGCGTAGAGGTACAGACTCTCGTCTACCAATCTGAAGGTAGTGGGTTCGAATCCCACACCCGGCATTGCATCAGCCGACTATTTTTATTAAAATAAAAATAGTTTGGGTACCTAGGTCGACTCAGCCTTAAATGAGTACTTGGGATTCACAATCATGAGGTAATAATAGGCGGTTGAAGCGTAGTGCTAGCCACATTACCTTCCTTGTATACCGAACGGATCTAGTATGGCAAGCTGTACCTTGCTACTCCCAAGGCGTTAAACGCTATATACGGGAGCTATTATTATTATTATATCCATTAGAGAAGCGATCGTCACAATGAATGCAGATTAAATGGCTAAATAAGGCTTGTGAATACCATTCATAGGCCCAGAATCCTTCTGCAGTGCCGCAAAAGCAGGTACAAGAATGACCACAAAACACTGGGTGGTCAACGAATCTCAAAAAGGCAGAGACAGGCTGATTACTACAGACCTGATGATTACTACAGACCTGATAAGCAAAGACAGGAAGACTGTCAAAGCTGTATTGGATCTTCTAACAGGAGATTGTAAGCTTTGTAATATGAGGGTAGACCACACAAGACCATCTTGTATATAATATTAATTGTAGGTTTGTTACATATTTAGCAATAAGAAATGTGTTGCACTACTTGCATACCCAGCAGAATCTATGACCTGTTCGTCGGTCAATACCTAAAGAAATATCCTTGTACCTTTTGAGTTGTCCACCCGGCTTCCTTTTACCGTCTACAAGCTCACCGTAAAGCAGAGATTTTGGTATGCTGTTTTCTTGCATTATGCATACGTGACCAGCCCATCTCAAGCGGGATTTTGTAATCATGACTTCAATACTCTCGCAGTTAGCTTTTTCAAGGACCGATACGTTTGAGACGTGATGGAACCATTTGATTCTTAAGAGTTGTCTAAGGTGTCTCTGTTACAACTTGTTTAATGCGTTCATGTGTCGGCGGTACGGCCACCCAGGTTTCGCTCCCATATAACATGGTGGGGATTATTATTGCTCGGTACACTGCAAGTTTCGTTTTTGTGCTCAAGTCATGATTGTAGAAAACCCTGTCTTTTAATTTCCAAAATGCTCTTGAGGCGCTGCTAATCCTGTGCTGAATTTCAGAGTCGATATTGGCCTTTTCCGAAATCAAACTGCCGAGGTAATTGAATTCCGCTATATATTCCAATAGTTCTCCGATTTTTATAGCATTTGTTGTGATCTTCCGGAGGAGTGCACATGATTTTAGTTTTGTCGATGTCAGCTTAAGGCCCAAAGCCTCGTATGCCCAGGTATATGTGTTCACCATTTTTTGTAATTGCTGTAATGTTTTTGCAACTAGAGCGCAGTCATCAGCGTATTGAAGTTCTGTGATGAATTTTGTACGTGTTTTTGCCCCGAGTCTTTTTATGTTGAACAGACCGCGGTCTGTATCTGTATCTGTATCTAATGCCCAATCCTCTCTGCTGCAGTATGCTGTCCACTATAATTATTATACAGAGTGTTTTATAGCACAAACGACCAAAAACAAACTTATAGCATTTCATTTATTGTCATTAACAAAATAAAACAAATAAGACTAAACATAAAATAGGTATATTTCGTAAAAATAATGTATAGACATCCTTTAACCCTCTGCTTCTTCTGGAGGCGCTTCTTCGGCAGGAGCTTCTTCGGCGGGAGCTTCTTCCGCTGCTGTTTCCTCTCCTTTTTCTTCTTCGCCCTCTTCGCCTTCTTTCTTCTCCTCCTCACCTTCATCCCCGCCTTCTACGCCCTTGGCCGTGCCTCCTTCGTCTCCGTCTTCATCGCCACTTCCCTCGATCAGTTCCATGATCTTGTCGATGGCCGCTTTGGTGGCCAAGCTCACCCACCACAGGACGAAGAAGAACGGCGGATGCTTGTAGTTTTCCAGGTCGCAAATGTCCAGATCGTTGAGGAAGGGGACGGGGCACATAGGGCATACGTCCGGGCAAGGGTCGGCCATGTTGAAGACGACGATTGTAAATTAGCACTGGAATTTTGAACGTTCGTTTCTTTCAATTTGAAGGAACGTCTACCTTTACTGTCAAAACATACCTGGCGACTGGTACAGGTATTTAGATTAAAAATTATTAATATTCTAAAATGCTTTGATTTTAAAATACGAGAGTTGTTTTTTTCCGTTTACATAAAATATATCATGTAAATGAATAGGACAATGCACACTATCCGTTCCGTTTTCCTTCCGTTCCATATCCTTTCCTTCCATACATTTTTTTGGCGGACGGACTGAAGCGTATCGGAAACAGCGTTGTCAGTTTCTTACCCAGTACCAGCTCTGTTAACATATTATTGATACTTATTTATCTTTAACCTCTTAATTAAATCTATTACCTTTTTCAAAAGATACAAATTTTTTAAATCAAACTTTCGTAATGATATAAATTGTACAATAAAAAGTATGGAGCTGATACGGAATGGGAGCTTACGTATAGCGTCAATGCAATAAAAAATACGGAACGGATATGGAATGGAAACGGAAGGTATAGTGAGAATCAACCTTAAAAATCTTTCTCTAAAATACAGGGTGCAAAAAATAGTGTACCGAACTTCAGTGGACGATTCTACAGATAAAAATAAATCGTAAAGTTCCTCTGATCATATACCCTAAGATCCTTCCTGAGGAAGTTAAAACCCTATATACATATACTAAAAATATTTTTTGCATACAAGGCGTGTCAAAAAAAAGTTATGATAAAGTTTTAAGTTTTTTAAATCGAACCCCCATTTTTCTGTACAGATTTGGATTCAGCATAAAATTACAATAATTTTTATGGTGTCGCCAGCATCGCAATATTTACAATGCTATCTCAATTTTTTTAAATGCAACACCCTGTATATTATTTTCATTTTAGATGCAGAATTAAATAGTGAACATTTTTTGTCTTTAAAGTTATTTAGTGTATTCAAAAGTGTTTTTTTAAAGCGATATTCTTAACGGTTTTGCAGATATTAGATTATACAGGGTGGTCCGAACTGTATTCCGGATACTTCGGCAGCATATTCTGCAGATAAAAATAAGTAAAGAAAATCGTATAAATGTATGTCTTAATGCTTAATTTCGGAAATACAGGGTGTAGAAGTTTTTTTTTCCAAATAATTTCTGAAGTAACGTCAATATTTGGATGAGTTTTCGAGTTTTTTGATATGCGAAATTTGATTTTGATGTCAATATAACTCCTATTTGTAGTGGGCGCCACATACATGTGTTTTAACTGTTTTGAAGAGTAATAACTTTTCGTCCGTACCTCTATAAAACTATCGAGTGTAAAAATATACATTCCCGTGATTTTTTACGTAAAAAATGTCTCTTGGTAAAAATCGCTACGAGCAACCGTTCTCAAGAGATTTAGAATGGAAATAGTCAATACATGTCATTATTGACAAAAAATAAACATATGTTGAATGGATAGTTATTTTACTGAAATAATAAATTTGGGAACTTTTTATTATTTTTTTTTAAATTATTCATAAATTTTTCTTCAAAAAATTGATGATAAAACAGTTTCTGTTGTGCTTTTGGCACAAAAACATTTCAAATTTCAGTCTAATAACTATTTAGTTAGAATGTTTAATTTATGTCAGTGATGACAGGTATTGAAAATTTCGATTCCAAATATCTGGAGAACCATGACTCGTAGCGTTTTTTACCAAGAAACTTTTTTTTACGTAAAAAACGTCGCAAATGTATATTTTTTAGTCAGTAGTTTTATACAGGTACGGACGAAAAGTTATTACTCTTCAAACCAGTTAAAAAATGTAGGTGGCGCCCTCTACAATTAGGAGTCAAATTGATATCAAAATCAAATTTCTCACGTCAAAAAACTCCCAGACACTAATTTTCATCCAAATATTGACGTTACTTCAGAAATTACTTGGAAAAAATCGAAAAAAATAAAATTTCTACACCCTGAATCTCCGAAACTAAGCATTTTAGGACATACACTTATACGAAATTTTTTACTTATTTTTATCTGCAGAATATGCTGCCGAAGTTTCCGGAATACAGTTCAGATCACCCTGTATAGATTTTGATTATTTTCTTTTTAGAAAATTGAAGCATTCCCTCGAATAAGGGCATCTAATTGTAACTGAATGGAGGTGTATTAAAAAGAAACGGTTAAGAAATGTACAACTTGTACACAAAAAAAAATGGCAATCTAAATTGGTTGCCTGCAATAAGGGTTTATGTTACATTTCACATAAACCCTTATTCCCGGGACTCAAGAGTTTATTACATATATCTCTAATACTGGTTTATTATCTGTGTTGTGCAACTTTTTATATCTGGGGATTAATAAAGTTGATGTTAGTACCACTTGAATATGATTATCAATACGAAAACCGTAGAAAATCGTTTTTCTTCATTTACTTAAAACTTACTTTTGTAACATAGCCGCAGCATATATTCAAGAAAAGCCTTCAATTGTTGTATGAAGAATGATTATTTATAAAAAAATATAGTAAATATATGCTAAAACACAGGATTAAAGAAAATACATCAAAAGATAAATACGTATTTATAAAATTTTACAAAAATCCTTACCCTAAGAGATCGGACAGCGACAACGGTTGTTCGGGCGTTTCAGCTTCCGTTTGTTCTCCATCTTCAGGAGTTGTTTCACCTTCACCTTCTCCAGAAGACGGCTGACTTCCAGTTGGAGACTCGTGAGCTGCCATTTTGTACCTTCAAAAAAAATTATATATTAATTTCACTCAAAATTTTCAAAATTATCTTCTTACTGCCCGCCTTCTTCTTTTGTTACGTCCACACCAAACGCCTGAATCTGAGTGTTAGGGTCTTCTGCCGGCGGTAACTGAGGCAGCATTCTCAGCGGACTCACTTTTTCCTCCTCCTTTATTTCGATCATCGGTTCTTCGACTACCGGACCTCTCATCAAGGACATCAGTATGCCCAGGAGATATTTTATAACGACCACGAATCCGAAACCGGAATAGTAGAAGGAGTAGAAGAGTAATTTAAAGAAGCCTGGAAGTAGTTGAGTGGTTAGTTTTAGCGAAATTAGACAAAAGAGTAGAGTTATCATACCCACGAATAGTTCTGGTATCGTCATCTGTTGCATTTCGATGATTTTGTGTTTGATGTTCGATGGACTCAGTGCTGAGAAACCATAGTAGATTGCTTCTTTGAAGTTTTGGTAAGTTCGTCTCACTGGATCTTTCCCCCTATAATGAATAATACAGGGTGTTTCAAAAAACATGTGCCATCTCTCGTGGGGAGTTTGCTCACGAATCAAAATACACAATGCGTAATCGAAAAACACACAATGTACCTCAAACCAACCGTTTCCGAGTTATTGACTTTTGAACATATCACTTAAACAATTTGACTTAATTAATTTTTATATGTTCAGTTTCATTCAACGATGCCATTCTGCCGAAATTGTGATACTGTTGTAATGGGTTTTTAAATGTCTATTAGCTACTAGTAAATTTAAGTATACAGGGTCGGTCATAAAGCTGTGGCACATCAAACTTTATTTTTTTCAATTGAAATACCCTGTATATTACTGCATATTTCAATTTTTCCTTCAATTTTAAGCAATAATCGTAATACACAATGTACACGAATTGAAGAATTGAAATGTTAAACGAAAATTTTGTAATTTTCAGACTTGATATAATCTCATTTTATACATCTATAAAGGTGGGTTCATACAGCCAAATAAAATAAAATAAGAATAAAATAAAATAAGAAATAAGGAATTCTTATTTGTGTGCGTTCATACAGTCAAATAAAATAAAATAAGAAATATATATTTGCTCATGCGCAGTACGATGAGGCTGGATAAAAGTTAACTTTTACGATTGTTTATAGTAATTTTACTATTTATAGTATATTTATTTATTCATTGCCTACTATATTATACATTTTACTTATGTGAAATTATAAAATAAATTAAATCCAAACTGAAAATATTTGTAGGTTAGAATTAAGCGTGCGCAAAGCCGTTTTCACATAAAATAAAACAAGAAGTTAAAAGATAAAGACTTCTTATTTTATTTGTTATTTTATTTGGCTGTATGAACGCATGTACGGTATCCCATATAACCAACTTTCTTATTTTATTTTATTTTATTCTTATTTTATTTTATTTGGCTGTATGAACCCACCATAAATGTCAAATATTATTAAGTGTCACAGTTACGGCAGAATGACATCGTTAAATGAAACTGAACATATCGAAATTAATTAAATCAAATTGTTCAAGTGATATGTTCAAAAGTCAATAACTCGAAAACGGTTGGTTTGAGGTACATAGTGTGTATCTCTATTTTTTCTTAGAATTGAAATATGCAATAATATACAAGGGGTTCCATTTAAAAAAATAAAACCTTGATGTGCCACGATTTTATGACCGACCATGTATACTTAAATTTATTACTCGCAAACTTTTGTATTTAACTTTTTGCGAACCTGTATAATCAATGATATAAACCCTAGATCATATATACTTACGTGGATAAATCAACGCCATAAGTTTGGCATTAAAAAATATGTCTCCAACATCACGACATGCAATTTTCAAACCTTCTTTATTGCACTTATGAAACATTCAATAGGTTTATCTTTGCGCATGCGCATTAGAAGTTGCACGCATTTCCAAAATAATCACAATTTTCTACGGTTTAGAAAGTACAAATTAAACATTGTTATGGAAACCAACTTTTCATTGTCATCATATTGTCATAATCTTGTCATAATCATGTCATAACCTTATTTCATAGATAAATGCAACAAGTTTAGATTGGAAAGCCCGTCAAAATTTTGGGTCGCGACCGTTATACGCGATCTGGCGCTGCTATAGCGGTCGCTAAAAACAACGGCAAACAAAAACAAAAATAATTTTTTCTTGTCAAAGTCAGAATATTCAAAAATCATAATAATCTTTCAAAATCTAAAACGGTCTCATTAAAGAAATTCCGAAAAGTGTTTATAGCGTTCATTTTCAAAGTAATTATTGCTATCTTGTGAGTTTAATTCAAGTTTTATTTACTTCAACCGGTGATAATTGTGAAAAAGTGGCATTAAAAACTTAAAAAGCTGTGCTGTGAACTGTGAACTGCAAAAACCATCGTGGATCGTGGCATAACGTCGGTTTCCAATGTTTCATAGGTATTTCATACATGCGTCCTTATATAAAATAAAGTTTCTTGTATGCAACACACTGTATTTTATTTATAAATAAACGAACGAAAATAATAATAAATTTGAATAAACTATATTTGGCGATATAATTCCGGAAAAAGCCGAACCAAACCGAAATTTTCAAAAATTTTGGGTCGCGACCGTTGCAAGAATAGCGCCAAATAGTGTTTACATTGTCCTTATGGGCACTTTCCAATCTAAACTTGTTTCATTTATCTATGCCTTATTTCCATTGTAGACGCTTGTTTTTTTGCGTTTTTTTTATTTTAAAAATTGTATTAATTACTCTTTTATCGACCGCTTTTATATAGCCAAGGATGCAAGTGTCTGCAGTGAGAAGTTAATTTTACGTTTGTGCAATTATATTTCTACTTTTTTTTCGTTGGACTTTCTAAATACTCGTAAAAATGACTAGAAAGTGTTTGGTGTGTGGAAGTTCTAATATAAAGGTCCCCGAATTATCTTTTCATAAGCAAGTAAAGTATTCAGTTGTTCTTTTATTTATTTTAAACAACATGCAGACTTTTTGGTTAGATTTCCTAAGAATATTGATATTCGTACGGAGTGGCTAAATGTATTTTTTATATAATTTAATTTTTGTGACCGTAAACATTCAATTTATTGTTCAAATATATGCATTGTACAAATTAAATTTTTAAAATTAATATTCAAATTTGGCGCGTGGACGATAGGTCCTCGACAAGGATAGATAGAGTAGAAGCACCGCGTTTGCAACAAAAAAAGAAGATAAATGGAACTCGTTGACATGTTTGCGACAGTTTCCATAGTGATTTACCTATCCACGTTAGTATATACTCTGTTTTTTTTCTCAGGTAAGATTTCGACAGACAATGACAGAAAAAAAGCAGATGACTTCCATACCAATCCATTTATTTCACTAAAAAAAGTTTCTAATATTTTTTAAGTTAACTATGGATGGGTTTATAAATAAATACGTCATGCGTCGTCTCTCGTTGTTTTTAACCAGTTTAATTGGTTTATTTCAAAAACTACAGATCATATTTCGATATTATTGGTTTGACCCAACGATGGACGACAAACGGACGATTGTGCGTATGAACTCGACATAAGATTTTTGAGAGTTGTCAAACTATTGCCAATTATAGGTTATAATTTTGTGTCAAATAGAAATGATAAATATTTTGCATTTTGCATTTTCGACTGTGTTGTTACTTGTCTTTCTTGTTTTTTAAAATTAAGTGGAGGAAAACTCGAGGGAATATTAAGTGTTGACCCAGACCATAGTTTACAGTTAATATTCGGTGCACCGAGACCGCCAGAGACACACTTTGCCAGAGACTATGGCCAGAGAGTTGTATTAGCCACAAATAAAGTTGTATACCATCTCGTATATGGTACCAAAAACTGGAGTATCTGTAAAATAACATCACACGATAGGTAAATAATACATTTTAGTACTGCAGAAAAAAATAAGATTAAAGTTAATTAACCAAGATTAGATTTCTTCAGTTTTATACAGTTTTTTTCACAATATTTTGAAGAATTGAAGAATGAATATTTGACACTTGTCACTCAAAATTTAAATATAATAATTATGCGTTCTAATTGTACCAACTTATTTCTTTGTAAAATAAAATAAACTACTTTGAAATTGAAATGACAGACACATCTATCACTGTCAAGGATTTTGTCGTTGGACAGACTATATATGATCTAGGATATAAACGAACAAGTTAAAAACCAAAAAAATACAGTAATTTTTCTTACTTTTGTTCATCTTCGTCAGCCATATAACTATAAGTCGTCGCACGAATTTGGCCACTGCCACCCGAATCTTCAACGGCCATCAATCCGCTGGCGTGTTGCATCTCAAAGATGGCGTCCTCGCAGAAATTGATAAAGGCCTCAAGCTTCTCCTTGTCACCACCTTCCGTCACAATGGAGTAGAAGAAGGCCCGCTTGGATTCCTTGATTTGAGGCTTCTCCCACTGCTCGATGTTCGATTCTTTGATCTCGAAATATACTCTCTCGATTCGTTTGCTGCTACCTACAAACAATTGAGCTGTATTTTCAACTTATTGTTGAACTACCTGTATACAGGGTGTTCGGAGATTTTTTGCATATCATTGTTTCACAATGAGATCTATCAATTAAAAATATGTTTTCAATATGGCGGCACTTCTGAAAATACCGGAAGTTGATAGCAACTTTCTTATTTTAAATGTGTAACCCCATTTTTATTATATATTTAAATTCTCTATTGCCCGGTGGCGTAGAGGTCCAGGCTCTCGTCTACCAATCTCAAGGTAGTGGGTTCGAATCCCGCACCCGGCATTGCATCAGCCGACTATTTTTATTAAAATAAAAATAGTTTGGGTACCTAGGTCGACTCAGCCTTAAATGAGTACTTGGGATTCACAATCCTGAGGTAATAATAGGCGGTTGAAGCGTAGTGCTAGCCACATTACCTTCCTTGTATACCGAACGGCTCTAGTATGGCAAGCTGTACCTTGCTACTCCCAAGGCGTTAAACGCTATATACGGGAGCTATTATTATTATTAAATTCTCTATAAAAATTTATAAATTTTTATATCAAACACTCTATACCTATCACTAACCGATTTTGAGAAAAAAAATATCTAAAATTTTTGGAGAAAAAAAACTGCCAGTCAAAAAAAATGTATAGCCTAAACGTCAAATTTAGTGATTACCACTGTGACATAAAGTAAAAAATTGTTCGAATGTCATATAATATTGGCCGTAGCTGTAAATCAATTGAGCAATTAAAAAATTATCATCGATACCAACCGCTCTGTATCAGACGGGTCAAAGACCGCTGAAGGAACAGGAGCTGGAGTATTTGGGGAAAGACCAAGGGTAAGCTTATCCTTTTCATTTGGTAAATACTCAACCGTATTCCAGACAGAAATCTTCGCCATTCTACAATGTGCGAGAGAAAATAATAAAAGCGTTTATTCAGGTAAGCTCATCAATATATGCTCAGATACTCAAGCGGCACTTGGGGCGCTTTTGTGCCCAAAGGTATCGTCGAGACTTGTCTGGGAATGCTTAGGTGAACTGGGAGCTCTGGCACGAAGGAACAGAATTAGATTATTCTGGGTGCCGGGCACAGCGGCATCCAAGGCAACAAAAAAGCCGATGAGCTAGCTAGGCAAGGATCATCGGCATCCTATCTTGGTCCAGAGCCAGTACTGAAAATACCCAAATGTATATGGCCTGTAGTGCACTAAAACTCTGGATCAGAGAAAGCAGAATGTCCACTGGAGAAACAGACAGGAACACAGGCACAGCAAGGCCTTTATCCAAGGACTTAGCTCTAAAACCGCAAAAGAACTGCTAATGCTTAGCAGAAATAAAGTGCGGATTACAACAGGCTTCTTGACAGGACACATGATTATCAAGTGTTACCTGAACAAGCTCAACCTGTATCAAGGAAGTCTTTGCTGCAGACTCTGCGATAAAGATCCAGAAACAGTAGAGCATATAATATGTCACTGCGAGGCTTTGGATCGCAAGCGACACTTTTTATTTGGGAAAGCTAGGCTAGAAAAGGAGAAAATATGCTCTCATCCTATCAATGATCTGCATATGTTAGTGCAGGGCACAGGGATAGGAGAATGGGTGCAGATATAGAAAGGGGATAAACAGAATAGGCCTCACAGGTCGCAGTGTTTCCGACAGAGGACGGCCCCTTATTATTGTGAAAAAAAACCACCCTGTATAAGCTATACCAAATAAACTTCTACATTCACTCTACAAAAGTTTATTTGGCATGATATGGCTATAACTATACTAGCCTTATGTGGATTTAATGGACTTACCTAAGATTTCAATGCGACCTAAGAAGGGCTCAAAATAATTCAATACAGAGCCTGCAGTTTCTAAGAATCTAGCCAGCCTAGGCTCGTTAGGCATGTGTTCTGACAGATTTGTGAGCAACACGGCCAAGTTGAAACCGATTTCTTTAGCGGGTTCGTGGAAACGATCTATAAAACCTTCGTAGTCGATTTTTCCGTCGTGGTTGGTCTCACAACAAGCTAAAAGGAACTCAATCTCTTCCCTGGAAAAATAAAATGATAACAAAGAGACAAAGGGTATAGCCAGATTAATATGGGAAATCTGCCCCCGCGGCTTTTTTAACTCGTACTCAGGGGATCGATTTGGTGCCGAATCCAAATAATTCACCTACATTTTTAGCTCTTTAACTCAAACGGTTTTCGAGATTTTCAAAAAAAAACTGTTTTTTCAATTTTATTTTTATTTTTATAGTAAAATTTAAAATTAATTAATGATTATTTTTTTCTAATTCTAAGAAGTCTAAGACATGAAAAAATAATATGATCATGATTCTTAAACGAAAAGCCGATTTTTAGCGGAGGAAATAAAATTAAAATCTTTATTTTGTTAACCTTTGTGAAATATGTCACTCACTAAAAATCGTCAGAAAATGTCTTTTATACTCCTTTACACTCGGAATTTTTTTAGAATTTTTTGAAGTGGTGGGACAATATGAAAAAAATTAAAAACTCATTTTTTTTCTAAAATCTCAGACTCATTTTTTTATAATAACCTTTATGTTTATTTCTGGCAAGGATGTATTTTTAATGAAAAAATATTTTCTACTCACTTTTGTAAATTAAACAAAAATATAAGTTAGTTAAAACAGAAGATTTTAGAAAAAAAATGAGTTTTTTATTTTATTCATATTGTTCCACCACTTCAAAAAATTCTAAAAAATTCCTGAGGGTAACGAAGTATGAAAGACATTTTCTGACGATTTTTAGTGAGTGACATATTTCACAAAGGTTAAAAAAATGAAAATTTTAATATTATTTCCTCCGCTAAAAATCGGCTCTTCGTTTAAGAATCATGATCATATTATTTTTTCATGTCTTAGACTTCTAAGAATTAGAAAAAAATAATCGTTAATTAATTTTGAATTTTACTATAAAAATAACAATAAAATTGAAAAAACAGTTTTTTTTTGAAAATCTCGAAAACCGTTTGAGATAACGAGCTAAAAATTTAGGTGAATTATTTTGATACTACACCGAATCGATCCCTGAGTGCGAGTCAAAAAAGCCACGAGGGCAGATTTCCCATATTAATCCGGCTATACCCTTTGGCCAAAAAAAGGTTATTTTACGGTGTATAGCTTTTTTGCTGTTCCATTTTTTCTTTGAAGTCTTTGGGATAGACCCAGCCGTCGCTGTTGACATCGATTTCTTGGAAACTGGCCGACGATGTTAGATCTTTTAGCTTCAGGAACATGTCGAAGTATTTCAGGATTAATTCTACGTTGGAGGCACTTTCCACCAAGGTGTCCACCATTTGTTTACCGATGGTGCCGTTCACGACATTACCTGTGAAAAAATTATTGAAATAAATATCCTGTATATTTTTGTAATTAAAATCGGAGTTTTAAGACAGAAATGACGTCGTGGTAGCTAAATAGTTTTTAAAATATTCCCTTAAAATATAAATATGGAATAAGATAGAACATTTTCAAATAAAATACATCATGGATGTCTTTCTAAGGTTGAAATGTACTACCAGTTAAAACACTGTTATTGGTAGTGCATTTATTTAAGTGACACCCTGTATATTATTTCAATACGAAGTAGGTACCTTCAAGCATTGAAAGCATCATGGTAATCATGTCCTTTTGCAAGTTAAGAAGTTCCTTCAGCAAATCCACCTGACTCGAGTGTTTGGATAACTTATCCTGCATGTGAGAGAACAGAAACAGGAAACCACCAACTGCATCCCATAACCTAAAAATTAGCTCAAATATAACTAATATTCGTACTTCACTTGTTAAAAAATATTGATAGTCAAGAAAAAGAAATTGTTGTACCGAAAAAGCTCAGTGGCGTACCATTTACTTTATGCCGATTAAATTCGATTTAAAAAAAATAACACTCTGTAAATCAAAAAGAAAGAACTTTAGAACACAGTGTATAATATCTAGATATTTTAGTTACCTGGAATGTGCCAGAGCCTGCTGATTCAGAGTACAAGGACCCTGAATGACTTCAGTGAGCGTGTTGAAAACCTGACTAGCTACGCCAATGGCTTTGAAGAAATTCGCTTTACCAGCTGGGTCGATGAGTTCCTTGCTAGAGTAATGCCAGTAGAAGTCCATGATGGATTCTTGCAGTCTCAGTAGGTAATCTACCGTGCAAATGACTACGTTCACTGTGGTGGTGTTACCGGCTTGGGTACGCAAATAGTTCTGCCATTCTAAAAATTATTATTAGTTTCCAAAATAAGTACGAAACATGAATCTTTTTAAAAAATAAGGGGATGTTTTTTTTCAATATCACATAATTATCCATTAAGGATATACCGGATGCGTCTCAAAAGTGGCTCACTCCTATAACTTTTTTTATTTTTTCAGATAAATAAACGAGATTTGATATGCTAGTATATGACATAAATTAGGATTGTGACGTATTCAATTGTTTTTGGTTACTTCCTGTTTCACCGGAATTGACTACAACTTTTGATTTTTAAATAGCACCCTCAGTATATTTTTACTTTATTCGATAGAAAATGACACTTTAGGTACCTTTACACTTACACTCTTTCGCATGGGTTCTGAACGTGGCGATCCAATCGTGCGCATAAGAACGGTAATGTAAATGTAAATCAAGCATGTGCGAAAACAGTTCGTACTTGAGTGTAGACTTGATTGCAGGAAAAGAACGTTAAATTCTTCTTGTGCATAATTTGAGTGGCGTGTGCGATTTGGCGCGCGGGATAACAAAATAAAATAATTATAATAAGTAGTAATGGAACGTTGCAATACTAGTGAAGAACCCTACGTCTTTCTTGTCTTTCAGGTGGTTCAGCATGCCCATTTGTATGGCAAAATTACCGCCTCTTAGTAAGTAAAGTTTATTATTGTAAAATTTTATATAATTATTTAATAATTTATTTTTACAGATATCAATAAATTACTTATTTTGTGTGCCATGGGAGATAGTAGGTACTGGTCGAAAGACTTTAAAGGCATTTTATTGAAATTTACAAATCATATCCGTGTCTATGGAAGGTGAGGTCCAAAGAATATACAAATAATAAAAAAAATACAAAATAATACAAAGAGCCACTTTTAATTTGTGCCGCCTTATTTTGTACATTTTTTATCTCAATCCTTTTAGAATTTCTAAAACTCCTGGAGTCCGGTCAAATCCGCGCCATAAGCAACAGTTTTCACTTTACACTGACATGTTTTTCCTTTTACGTTACATACGCGCGGACAAGTCTCGAATAGAACGTTGCTTTTTTTTATTTTTCTAGCAACACCCTCTTGGAACGCTACGTTCTTGGAGCGCATTCTTGGACTCACGATTGGAATGCCGTTCAGAACCCACGCGAAAGAGTGTAAGTGTAAAGGTGCCTTTTGATTAGAATGACATATCATATGTAAACATTTGACAATTTCGCTTTTAAAAAAAATCGCATTTTAAATTTCATTCTAGAGTGCCATGGCTGTTAAAAATACTAATTTTAATCAAGGAGCCTTGGAAAAATAGATTTGATCATCTAATGTTTTTCATGATTTGTTCTGACCGGTTAAAAGATGCCCAAATCGTATTTTTTAATCATATCTCAATATTTTCAAATGGAGCGAGGGTGGCTCATTAGCATATTTGGAAAAAGCATTTTTTTACCAATAATTTGATATCACACACTTGGTATTTCAAGTCAAATTGTCGTTATGAACCACATGTTAAAATAAAATCAAATAAATTATATGAGAGAATGTCAAAAGTTGACATATTATATGTCATTCTATTCAGAGAGTGTTATTTAAAAACATTCCGAGAGTGTCATTTAAAAATCAAAAGTTGTAGTCATTTTCGGTGAAACAGGAAGTGAGCAAAAACAATTGAATACGTCAATCAATCCTAATCATATACTAATACCAAGTTATAAGTTTTTTATCTGAAAAAATAAAAAAAGTTATAGGGATGAGCCACTTTTGAGACGCACCAGGTAGATCTTGCATTCTCCCTACCTTTATATCTTTAAGTCTTACCTAAATTGTGACCTTCACAAGTAAGCTGGATAAATCTAAACAAGGCACAAGTGAATTCAGCGTCATGCATATTCTTCTCGCCAGCCGCACCTATATAAAAATACAAAAAATAAAATAATACGAAAACAACAAAGAAACAAAACTAACAAACCTTCAGAACCAACTCCCAGACCTTCTGCCTTGGTGTTTCTTTCAAAAGCGTCCAGATCCAATACACTACAACTATTCATTAAACCAGCAATACTAGTGAAGAACCCTACGTCTTTCTTGTCTTTCAGGTGGTTCAGCATGCCCATTTGTATGTCGAAGTTACCGCCTCTCAGAATGGAGATACCCAGTTCTAAGGTTTTCATCACCATATCCGATGGTACGCCTTTGCAGGCTGATATATGTAACAGTACCATTTCTGCTACGCCTCTGTTTGCCAGTCTGGCTTGGTTGAAGAGTAATTTCTGTTTTTCCATTTCTTGTTCCTAAGGAATGTTGAATAATGTGAAAGAAATTTCGATAGGACACTTGAACTAATTTCTAAGGTCTCACATAGACGTTATTCTTTTGCCACGCTTAAAGCTTGATTTTCATGCATCCGTTGTCCGACGATACGATGATACGATATTAATTTTATTGGTTGAATTTAAAGACTTCGATTGGTTAGAAAATTAAGCAGTTTTTAAATTTATTGCATCTTCATACCTCCGTTCATCGGATATACGATTTGCTTGTGATTAGTGTCATTTTATATTTTTATTTCCATAATGATTTCGCTGTTTTACTTATAGGCTAAGAGCTAGCAACGTTTTCAAGAGAGAGTTTTAAGAAAGCTGGTTCTTTAATATACCTTTTGATATGCTCTTCTGAACAGAGTGCGGACCGTCTGGCTGCCAGTAGACGTTACGTTCACTACAGCGCATCCCCATATCTGTATTCAACATCTGTTCAGTACTATGCATCACAAATTCGCCCTGTATTTCGGGAACTAAGGAGTCGAGGACAAACCTATATGTAACATATAGTGTTTTATAAGAAAGTAGCAAAGTAATGTGAAAATCGCATCATTGTATCTCTACTGATAAACGAGAAATCCCATAAAACACACGAAAATGGGATACCCTGTACAGATGTAAAGCGCAGTAGTGAACCACAGTAGTCTACCGGCATCGGCAGCCAGGCGGCCCGCACTTTGGTCAGGAGAGCATAGCAAAGGATATACTAAAAAAACAGCTTTCTTAAAATTCTCGTTTTCCCGACGGTGCTAGCTCTTGTACTATTATATTTTTATTAAGATTAGTTTCAACTTGTTAAAAAAGTGCCAAAACGTCCGTTATCGTACGATCTTTCTCCGTTGACGGGCTGGAGTAAAAAAATTACGGATGAAAAGTGGCGCGAAAATGCTATGACCAATCAGAGTGCCGCGCCGCGCCGCGGCCTCAGACCATCGTATCAACGGATAACGGACGCATAAAAATCAAGCTTAAATCGTCAAATTATTTTGAACTAGAGTAAATCCCACAATCCTCTCTTGGGCTTTCCTACTTATAGTTGTTTTATTCAACAGGTAAAATTACACAAAAAAAACCTCTATGGGAGACTTTATATTAAGATATTTTACTCATACCCTCAGTTTTCTCATTGTCCTCTGATAGATTAATTATAAAAGAAATTATATCAATAGTAAATATAAAGAGATAGGTTGCGTAACAATCTTTTTTTCTTTAAAATTATACTTACATGGATGGAGGAACCTCCTTCTTCACCTTCACCCCCTTCTTCGCCCCCCTCTTCTCCTTCTTCCTCTTCCTCACCGCAAGATTTAGCGATAATTTCCGCATAACTCATATAGAGGGGATCTTCTTGTAACGCTCCGGATCTAAGACAGTTTTTTGACGTTATTAACTTGTTATACAATAATTTTTGTATTAAATACGTGAAATATGATTTTTTACTACAATTTAATACAAACCAGCTACAAGCAATATTTTTTGCACAACTATATTTTTCTAGTGTAGTTTCTACTTCGTATAAAGTTTTATTCAGAACCTCGAAATTAGTGGAATAAACTCGTGGTTGCAATAAGCGTAAAATTTTCTCTGTCTAATTTCAATGTAAGCATTCAGAACATCACAATTAATGATGAGTTATTTTCAGTTAGTAGAAAAAGTTAACAAACATTTAACTTTTACCACTAATTACAGTTTAAAATTAGCGAATAATTCGTCGAAAAAAATTCTGATTAAAAATGAAAACAATATTGTTTTATAAGCTATAATTATTACTGACTACCTCGAGCTAGGATATTCTGTTACTTTTAAATGTATTTTTTTAAAAATTGTAAACACAAAACATCCCCTTTTAGAACGTTTTCTGTAATGGCAATGACTGGAAGTAAAAGCTATACTGTGCGAAAAAACACTAGACGCGCTACTAGCATAGATAAATGAAACAAGTTTAGATTGGAAAGTGCCCGTAAGGACAATGTAAACGTAATTTGGCGCTATTCTTGCAACGGTCGCGACCCAAAACTTTTGAAAATTTCGGAGCGGTTCGGCTTTTTCCGGAATTATATCGCCCAAATATTGTTTATTCAAATTTATTATTATTTTCTTTTAATTTTATAAATAAAATACAGTGTGTTGCATACAAGAAACTTTATTTTATATAAGGACATGTATGAAATAGCTATGAAACATTGGAAACCGACGTTATGCCACAATCCACGATGGTTTTTGCAGTTCACAGTTCACAGCAGAGCTATTTCAGTTTTTAATGCCACTTTTTCACAATTATCACGGGTTTGAGTAAATATAACTTAAATTAAACTCACAAGACAGCAATAATTACTTTGAAAATGGACGCTTTAAACACTTAACGGAATTTTTTCAATGAGAGCGGTTTAGATTTTGAAAGATTTTATAATTTTTGAAGATTTTGACTTTGAAAAGAGAAAATTATTTCTGTTTTTGTTTGCGGTTGTTCTTAGCAACTGCTATAGCAGCGCCAACGGTCGCGACCCAAAATTTTGACAGGTATTCCAATCTAAATTTATTTCCTTTATCTGTACCAACTGTATATTACTACAAAAGTTACAGTTGAGGGTTGAAACCTTTGGTGTTACACAGCAAAATAAAAACACTAAATCACCACAATACACCAAAACACTTTTACTTTTACACTGGGCGCGCGTTTCGCTAACCATGTTAGCATCATCAGCAGATGATTATAAACTCATGTTTATCATCATCTGCTGATAATGCATGCTGATAATGCATAATTAACAAATATTCATTTGTTTTTTAAATATGACAATATTTTTATTTCGTTGTTGTGTGAATGTTCGGTGTGTGATTTTGGCAATTTCCTCATTCATTACTGGTGTATTTGTACTTATTTTACCAAGAACGTTTTATTTAATTTATTGAAATTTAATTGCAATGGCAGTTTTTTTCGTTTTCCAAATCCCCGGAAAGATTCGAATTGTTTTGTAGGTTTTTTTTCAATTTATATGCATATAAAATACATAATTTATAATAACATCAATAACTGTTTTATATTTATAGACGTTAGATCGGGTATTGATATAAACATTTTTTTATTGTGACAAAATAGTTAATATGTTACGAGTATATGTAAATTATAATTTTTTATTGTAATTTTTAACATATAAAGTAATTTTAGTATACCTATTTCCTTAGAATTAAAAAAAATTCTGTAATATTAAAAAAATATATACAGGGATCGATATTTAAAAACTAAGTTTATAATCTATGATGATGATGCTAACATGGTTAGCGAAACGCGCGTCCAGTGTAAAAGTAAAAGTGTTTTGGTGTATTGTGGTGATTTAGTGTTTTTATTTTGCTGTGTAACACCAAAGGTTCCAACCCTCAACTGTAATGATCGATATTTGATGAATTTAGTCCGCGAACAAACTCAAGGGGGCGCTTCTTTTACTTTCATTTCATGACATAGAAGTCAAAATAAAGGGGGATGTTTTGTGATTGAAAATGATCGTAAATTCTTAAGTATAAATTATATTTGAAACCACTAATATATTCCAGTAATTTCAAGGTTCTAAACGAAGCTTAAAGCTACATTCAGAACCTCAAAATTAGTGGAAATTTCTAAGTGTTTCGTTTTCACACTTGCCGTTTATGGTATCCAGGTGGAAAAAGTTTATTCCTATCGACAGCATACATTTTAAGATATTTTAATAAGAAAATACCTATGTTAAACTTATGATTTATTTCATTACCTTTCTGTCATGGCTCCTCTACAGAACGTAGTGACAAGCTGTGTAAGAGGATCTGGTTTTCCCTCTTCTTCTTCCTCGTCCTTTTTCTTCAGTTCAGAGTCCTCAAAACTTTGAGTAAGATCTTCGATCATCACTTCCTGTCCGACATTCTCGTCTTGAAGCCAGAAGTCTCGGTATGTTCGGATAAAAATGTTGATAGCCCGATGCCTGTAAAATAAAATTTATTTTCTTTAAAATTAATAAATAATTCCTGAGACAAAAATAAGTAATGTAGACAAACCTGCTCAGTTTGTACAGTGGCGTACATCTAAGACAAGCCAGTGCCGCGCGTTTTCTGGCAGCGTTCATAACTTTTCTCCAGCCATCTCGACAGGATTTCGGTTTTGAAGCCTTTTGGGTTAGTAAATCACACAAAAATATTAATACAATAAAAAAACAAGATTGTGTTAGTGAGAAATCAATACTATGTCACCTATAAACCCCACCTACAAAACCAAACATTTTTCTAAACTTTGGGACTTTCAAACTGTGAAATGATTTGAGATCTTAAGATAAAATCTTACCGATTTTTGATAAGAGCTTATTTACGGGTTATAAGTTATATATCTGCTAAAAACAGTCTAAAAAAGTCTTCTTGAACAGTTTTATTTAGATATTTTAGAGAGGTTTTTCTTTTTTGTATTTATGTTTTACTTTATGTTTTTTTGCCTCTGACGACTGGAGGAGTTATACCTCCCGAAATGTTAAGCATAATGTTGTCGGTTAGGCAAATCAGTTTTACTAGTAAAAAACCACTGACAAGCTGGTATCCGTTGAGATTCAACGCAGTGGTGTTCATAAAAAAATAACTCTTCCATTTTGTAGATTTTCTTCCATTTGCGAAAAACCCAGATTTTTTTCAAGAAATAAACCCGCCAAAAAAGTACAGACATTATTTTAGATATATCCCATCAATTTATAATGCCCAGGCTGGTACAGTCTGTCCAACAAGGGGATACACGACAGTGACAGATATTGTGTGTCAATTTGATTCCCAACTAAATTACAATTCCTGTCATTTTTTTTTGGATGTCGTCTGACGAAATTTTCCCTGACTCGTTGAACAGACATTATACCGGGTGCGTCTCAAAAGTGGCTCACCCCTATAACTTTTATATTTTTTAGATAAAGAAACGGGATTTGATATGTTAGTTGTACATAAAGTAGTTAGTAAAGTTAGTTGTACATAAAGTAGGATTGATTGACGTATTCAATTGTTTTCGGTCACTTCCTGTTTCACCGGAAATGACTTCAATTTTTGATTTTTAAATGGCACCCTCGGTATATTTTACTTTATTCGATAGAAAATGACACTCTGAATAGAATGACACATCATATGTCAACTTTTGACATTTTCTCATATGTTTATTTGAAATTGTAACATGCGGTTCATAACGACAATTTGACTCGAAATACCAAGTGTGTGGTACCAAATTATTCGTAAAAAATGCTTTTTTCAAATATGCTAATGAGCATATCCTTCGATTTAAAAAAAATGAGATATGATTAAAAATACGATTTGGGCATCTTTAAACCGACCAGGACAAGATAAGAAAAACATTAGACGCTCAAATCTATTTTTCCAAGGCTCCTTGATTAAAAATAATTATTAGTGTTTTTAACACAGGTATGGAACTCTATATTGAAATTTCAAATACGATTTTTTTAAGCGAAAATGTCAAAAAAGTTGGCATGTGATATGTCATTCTATTCAGAATGTCATTTTCTATCGAATAAAGTAAAAAAATACCGAGGGTGCCATTTAAAAATCAAAAGTTGTAGTCATTTCCGGTGAAACAGAAAGTGTCCAGAAACAATTGAATACATCAATCAATCCTATTTTATGTTATATACTAAACCAAATCTCGTTTTTTATGTAAAAAAATAAAAAAGTTTAGGGGTGAGCCACCTTTTAAGACGCACCCGGTATTGGATTTTGTGAAAACTGTCTCAGTTTCTGTATAGATGTTGTCCTGATAAAACTATTATTTCAAACAATAAAAAAGCTAACAAAAACACTACAACACACAAAAACAAGTAAAAATTAAGGCAGAAAAGCAAGTAACGAACCTTGGCAAACTGTGCAAAGAAGCTTGGCGGAAACAAGACAGAACCGCCCTTTTCCTTTGCGTGGAAACTATCGACCTATAAACGCCCTTCTGCTGCTGCTGGGGATGGTCGATCTGGCGAGAAGCAACGGAAATTATAAACAAAATCGATAGATAAAAGCCCAAAGAACTATAAATAATAACTTTCCATATTGAGTACATGAAAAAATTACTACAGAAGACTTTTTCTGTAGTTGTTTTAGCCTGTACAAGCTCTTAACGTCATTCTTTTATTATTATTTGATACATTTTACATTTAAAATATAAACTAGTACAAAATATAAATGCATAAGCCTGACATTCAAACTACTGTAAAAAATAAGCCAGCAGTAGAATCGTATTGTTGATTTACGCTTTGAATAAAAAGAATAAGGAAGAAATATTATGTTATCCATGTATTAGACATGGAATCGACATCATGAAACCCCATTTTTGACAGTTCTGTTTGACGTTTCAATCACAAAACATCCCCCTTTAGAACTTTTTCTTTAACGGTCATAAACGGGAGTAAAAGACTAACCGTCCGAACAAACACTAGAGGCGCCACCGGTCATCGAATGGTGTAAAAATAGAGAAAATTTAATCATCTAATTTTGACGCAAGGGGTCGCGCTTAACTTTTTTAATTTTAATTCAGTTTTCATTGTTTTCAAACTACATTATTAGGTTTTGTTGTATTTTGTGAATGTATAAATGTTTTCTTAGTATAAAATTGCATGATATTAATTGAAATTATATTGCATACATATTTAAAATTAAAATATTACGACATATATTATTACGTCAGTTGCCGTCTAAAATGTCATCTTGATAACAAAAAGTTAGTTATTGTAAGAGATATTTAAAATATTAAAATTCACAAGTTATAATTAGTAATTAGACAATTCTGTTAGATTTTATATTATTTAAAAACAAAAACATAATGGTATACAGCGTAATTTTGATATGCAGGTTCAAAACAAAAAGTGCTGTTATATTTTTCAGTTTCAGTGATTTTAGTGCTGTCGGATATTTTTATTTGTAAAAAAGAAACATTGCGTTTGGATTGCAAAACTAAAAGTGGCAGTTTTATTGCAATGTAAGTAAGCGTTTGTCCATTTTATATTTTACTTTTTTCATACCTACGACAAAATATACATATATTGAAATTTTATAATTCGTTTTATTTAAAAAATGTTAGAAGACAAACCTGTAATTGACATATCTAATTGTTATGTAATATATTCCATTTAAATGTAATATATTACTTTACAATAAAAAAAATTCAAATTCAAAAAAATATATTAAAAATATAAAGAAATCATTTTCACGGGCAACACTGGTAGAACTTGTAGAACGGGTAAAATACGATTCTACCTCAGATAAATAAATATCTATTCAAAATATTATTAAAAATATTTAACATTATTCTTTAAGTGAAGAGTATAGTTGATAAACAAGATTCTTACCATATGTAATCCGTACAAGACTTTACTCATAGCAACTATTCTATCCACAGTCTCCTCTAGTTGGTTCTTGCCATTACTGTCCACCGTATTGACAGTGACACTCTTCTTGCCAAGTTTACTATACAAGTAATGTTGCCACGACATCTCATCTGCCGGGTCAATTTTGTCGGGCAGTGTTAGTTGAATTTTGGCAAAATCTAAAAAAATAAACTTGTGAATTACCGGAAAATAAAAAAGTGTTGAGATAAAGTACCGATAATTTCGTATTCCGGCATCTTTTTCAAGAACCTGTCCTTGCAATGTTGGACTAATTCTTGTTCTCTGCCTGCGAACAAGTTCAAACCGACAGGAAGGAGACGTTTGAGGCAGGCTACCATCAAGGAGGCTTGAATTTCTTTGTCCTTGTCTCGCTTTTTGTCGCGATGCTTCTTTTTTTTCTAAAATGTTAAATTGATTTAAAATTGTATTCATTCTGGGATAAACAGTACGGAGCACGATTAACAATGATTGAAATAGTTTGCAATGTATATTAGTTTACTAACACAGCTCAGTGTCTCTACTACAAGAAATAAACAGTAGAATTAAGTTAACATGGAGTACATATCTGCACCCCAGAAGCAAACCATGTTAAGAGTCTATTACGCTGTACTGCTCGGGTTGCTCTCAGGGGTCGGGTAAAGCGGGTGTGTGGCCGAAGGAAATATATATTTTATTTCAGAAATCTGCCTAAGGCTTAGCCCGATCCTGTCGTGTTAAGCCACGACCCAAAATTCCAAACACACGTGCTTTGATTAATACTTGATTAAGGTTTGCAGAGCTTCAGCATTTACCATAAAATAGCGAGCAATTTATTACAAAACCATATATATTATATCTAACTGAAATTACAAAACTTCAATCTATTTCCTATTGTAACGGAATTTTAAATTATGTCTTTATTTTCGAGAAAATTTAGTCCAAACATAAGGAATATTTTATTGATGTTTGACCATCAAAATCTTGAAAATAAAGAAGTTGTCTAAAAATGTGCTACAATACGGATATAGTATAACTCTTAATTTTTAATTTCCTTCTCCATTTGTGTAAAACCGCCTAGCCAGTTTTACATAAAACGTTAAATCTCGAACGCTTATTTTGCTACTTTTTCGGACTAGTAAAATGGACTCTTAAGTCACAAAACATAGTTTCGGGAAAAACGAATTTAAAGTTTTGTTTAGTTCAGGGCCGGCATTGGACTTAATTTGATTTAATTTTGCGATTTTTAGAGTATTTTATTTATTCCTTCAGATAACGTAAAACGAGAAAGAGCAAAGGATAGAGAATAAAAAGTTAAGTAACTTGACGTATTTAACTCAAATATTTTGGACTTAACATAGTTGGTTAGGTTGTAGTTCAAATCTAGAATGCCACTCTATCTAAAGAAGAAAACATTCGACCAATATTTTCTTCTACCAGTCGTGAGCTACGTATGCAAAACCTGGAACCTTAAAGGTTGATTCTCACTATACCGTTTCCATTCCATATGTTACGTATTTTTTATTGTATTGACGTTATTCGTAAACTTCCGTTCCGTATCAGTTCCATACTTTTTATTGTACAATCTATATCATTACGAAAGTTTTATTTTCAAAATTTGTATGTTTTGAAAACGGTAATAGATTTAATTAAGAGGTGAAATAATTAATAAATATCAGCAAAATGTTAACAGAGCTGGTACAAATGTAAAAACTCGACAACGCTGTTTCCGATATGCTTCAGTCCGTCCGCATAAAAAAATGTATGGAAGGAAAGGATATGGAACGGAAGGGAAACGGAACGGATAGTGTGCATTGTCCTATTCATTTATATGATATTAGGTTTGTTTCAACCAGCATTTCGGGATCGTTTCAAAGTCGTACTCGAATCGGTTTTCTTGCACTTTGTAGCATGCGCGGACTTCGAATAGTTTCGTGACGGTGCAAAAACTATCAACGTTGGAACGCTTTGTGGATTGTTTTCGGGACTGTCAAAAGTGTCAAGCGTGCGTGTATCGATCGGTTTTTTGTTTTTGTTTAAAATTTCATAACATAACCCTATTATTTTTGTTTGCAATTTGCAATATTAATAATTGTTATTCTTGAAATGGAGAATCAGAAACCAATAATTGTTGGTAATTGTTGTTTCAACTGTATACTCACTAACTCACTTACCTATCCTCTCTTTTATGATCCTGTTATGTGTAGTTTCCTGTAATTTAATTGCAGTGGTAGAATCTTTGAACATTTTTTTATAAATAAAGAATTAATTAAAATTTCCGAACGATTTACTCCACACAAACTTACAAGCAAAAGTATAACGCACACGTATTCGAATTCGTAAAAAATAAACAAGACAGAAGCATCAGCCGGACGCTGGACCAGAATCAGCTGTTAAAAATCGATAATCCCTGCCAATATACTTTAATGCGCAAGGCCAACCCAAACAGTCCTCAATTTGGATCATGTACCGAAATTACCGTTCTGAAATCGTAACTAAATGTTCTCAAGGTAGGCTGATACGCAAATAGGATCGTCCGATAACCGTCAAATCTCGGTTGGAACACATTTGAATTACTCCGCACGAGCGTGATCGTTCGGTGATGGTTCTGCGGCGGGTTGGAACAAACCTATATTTTATGTAAATGGCAGGGAAACGGAAAGTAGCTGATATGGAAGGTATAGTGAGAATCAATCTGAAACGGACATTATAAGGAAACTCCAGGTAGCACAACGCTCAATAGCAGAAAATATACAGGGAACCAAGAAAGACCGTAAAATAATAGAGTGGATACGAGAAAAGACTCAGGTACTCGTAATAGATGTCATCGACAGAATCAAATCCTCCAAGTGGCAATGGGCAGGACACCTGGCAAGAAGGTGGACCACAAAAATTACAGCATGGTACCCACGTGAAATTAAGAGACCTAGAAGAAGACCAAACCTGAGATGGGACCATGATATTACGAAATTAGCAGGGATAACTTGGGCCCGCATAGCCAACAATAGACAACAACGGCCCCAAGAAAGTGAGTATCTAAATATGTGAGGGAGGCTACACCATAGTCCGAAATGGTTGAATAAGCTGAAAATGATAATGATAAAATATAGAAACGGGCAAAATCAGAATATTGTGAGTATTTCAAACATTGTTCATCGCTCCGTATAGCTAAGTTTTTATTTTATAATAAATCAATACCTTAAATATTTCCAACGATTCCTATTTAAGAAATAAAATACTTCAAATATTTTTTATTAGATAAATTAAATACTTATGGTTGCTTACCTTTCCCACTGAAGGTTGTGAACCATCAGGTACAACAGTTCTTCTTGTAGCAGTGGGCATAATCAACACCATATTATCAATTTCGTTTGCAGATATAAAGTTTTGTTCTTCTCTCAAGAAGTACTGAGAGTTAGACCAGATGTTGAAGATATCTGCGACGTGGTTGTAAAGGTGTTCAGCTTCTTCTACATTGTGCCTTAGCCAATGGTTTCTTTGAAGATCCACGTATTTTATTAGAAGAGGGTAGAACGAGTAGATGTCCCGCACTAAAAGATGCCATTCTTCCTGGATCTGAGTTTCAATCTAACAGAAAATTTATAAAAATAATTTAAATTTTTTTAAAACGATAAAAGAATGTGAAAATAATAATAAATATAGTGCGGTAAAGCAAGTATACAGGGTTGTTCACCACATACGACACGGAGTATTGTAGCTAAACGATTATATTTTTACAAATTTCAAGTTTTGGGTTCGATGAAGGACTATTAGAGGTACAATTTAAAAATAATTTGACAAGATACAGAGTGTCCCAAATAAGTAAAAATTATCAAAGTTGTATTTTTTTAAATGGAATACCCTGTATATTATTACATTTTTAGTTTCTACGATTAAAATAAAGGTAAATTTGATTAAGGTTTATTATACTTAAACCTTACCGTTTTTGAAATATTTTCAATTTTGGGAAATTGCAGTAAAAATTTTAAGGCTTCATTTCTCCAAGGGTATCAAAGTTTTTAATACTAAATATTTACTGAAGTTTATTTATTGATCAGTTATTGTGTTGCAATAATAAAAATAATACTACCTTATACAGAGTGTGTAAAAATTTATTTTAAATAATTTCTAGCTTTAAACGCCAATAACTTCTTTAATTTAAATGGAACGCCCTGTATATTTTAGGAGAATCAGATGCACAATTTAATTGTCTATCAAATTGTATTATACCATTTTTTACCTATCCCTTCAAGTTTTCGTAGAAAATGCATTTTCTTATAATTTAGACCCTATTTATCAATATACCCATGGAATATTGACATTTTAGATTGTTTTTAAAGCAACAAATGTACAAAATGTACAGGCTAAATGTACAGGCAAATGTACAGGCAAAATATTACTAGCCCATTTATATGCAAAAAGAAAACTATTTAAATCTTTATAAAAGAGTATACCATTAATTAAATATAACACCATTATTTCCGCCCATATACTAATTAATTACATACTTAATTGTGTTCGTTAATAAATTATTCTAAATAAATGTGGATTTGAGTCAGAAATCAATATAATAATAAGTTATCAAAATTAAAGTCTCTGTTGTTATAAATAAGTATTTATTAAAAATGAAATATAATTTTTAAGGTGTTCTTTTTATCACACTGTCTAATACCCATACAAAATTCAGTTTTTTAGTATTTGGAGCAATTATTATTAATCAACGCAAACAGTCAGTTAATGTAGTTTGAATACTGGAATCATATTAATTGGTCCCCTTTAACAAATATTTAAACAGTTTTTTTTTATTTTTTAATAAAATAAACAAATTGTATCGACAATATTAGTATCTGTACTCTTTAAAAATTTGGTACATCTTTAAAAATAATCTAAAATGTCAATATTCCATGGGTATATTGATAAATAAGTTCTAAATTACAAGAAAATGCATTTTCTATGGAAACTTAAAAAGATAGGTAAAAAATGGTATAATATAATTTGATAGACAATTAAATTGTGCATCTGATTCTCGTAAAATATACAAGGTGTTCCGTTTAAATTAAACAAGTTATTGCCGTTTGAAGCTAATAATTATTTAAAATAAATTTTTAGGCACTCTGTATAAGATAGTATTATTTTTATTATTGCAACAAAATAACTGATCAATAAATAAACTTCAGTAAATATTTAGTATTAAAAACTTTGATACCCTTGGAGAAATGAAGCCTTAACATTTTTACTGCAATTTCACAAAATTGAAAATATTTCAAAAACGGTAAGGTTTAAGTATAATAAACCTTAATCAAATTTACCTTTATTTTAATCGTAGAAACTAAAAATGAAATAATATACAGGGTGTTCCATTTAAAAAATACAACTTTGATATTTTTTATTTATTTGGGTCACTCTGTATCTTGTAAAATTATTTTTAAATTGTACCTCTAATAGTCCTTCATCGAACCCAAAACTTACAATTTGTAAAAATCTCATCGTTTAGCTACAATACTCCGTGTCGTATGTGGTGAACAACCCTGTATAGTCTGTACAACCATCGTCCAACGTTACGTCATCATTATATCTAATATCTGTTTTAAGGAGTCTGAGATCAGTTCCTATCGATTATAAAAGCTTCAAGTACGTTCCTAAATTAATAATTGCGGACGTTCCGATTTTATTAATTTCAAGAAGGTATGTTCTGCCTTTATCGAGGCCTTTATACAGGGTGGTCCGAACTGTATTCCGGAAACTTCGGCAGCATATTTTACTGATAAAAATAAGTAAAAAAGTTCATATAACTGTACGTCCTAAAATGCTTAGTTTCGGAGATACAGGGTTTAAAAGTTTTATTTTTATTTCGATTTTTACCAAATAATTTCTGAAATAACGTCAATATTTGGATGAAAATTGGTGTCTGGGAGTTTTTTGACATGAGAAATTGATTTTAATGTCAAAATGGCTCCTATTTGTAGGGGGCGCCACCTACATGTGTTTTAACTGTTTTGAAGAGTAATAACTTTTTGTCCGTACCTGTATAAAACTACTGAGTGATAACATAACGTGAAATATACATTTCCGTGATTTTCTACGTAAAAAATGTCTCTTGGTAAAAATCGCTACGAGCAACCGTTCTCTAGATATTTACAATGGAAATACCCAATACATGTCATTATTGACTAAAAATAAACATGTTGAGTAGATAGTTATTTGACTGAAATGAGAAATTTGGGAACTTTCTATTTTCTTAAACTAATCATAAATGTTTCTTCGAAAAAATGATGATGAAACAGTTTCTGTTGAACTTTTGGCACAAAAACATTGCAAATTTATGCTTTTAGTCTAATAACGAATTAGTTAACACATGCATGTTTAATTTATGTCAATGATGACAGGTATTGGTAATTTCGATTCCAAATATCTCGAGAACCATTACTCGTAGCGATTTTTACCAAGATACTTTTTTTACGTAAAAAACATCGTAAATGTATATTTTTTAACTAGCTAGTTTTATACAGATACGGACAAAAAGTTATTACTCTTCAAACCAGTTAAAAAATACATAGGTGGCGCCCTCTAAGTCAAAAAACTCCCACACACCAATTTTCATCCAAATATTGATGTTACTTCGGAAATTGTTTGGAAAAAATCGAAATAAAAATGAAACTTCTACACCCTGTATCTCCGAAACTAAGCATTTTAGAACATACATTTATAAGAACTTTTTTACTTATTTTTATCTGCAGAATATGTTGCCGAAGTATAGACATTTTTTAAAGATAATATTAGTGTAATTTTATACTCCTGTACATTAAATAAAAAGGAATATTGTTAAATTTCGGATATAAATACCAAAAATTATACCGTTCAATTTAAATTAAAAAAAAATCACAATAACAATAAAAGAGGAATCATATCCATACCTGTGATGTATCATCCGAACTACTCTTAATAAACCCTCTTAAACTCTCTTCTTTATGGAACATTGCTTCGGTTCGTTTCTTAACTCTTTCAGCCAGAGGTAAGAACGGATCTTTCAACAATTCTTCGCTGCTATTGATGATGATTTGTTGAGTATACGCTGCTATCCTCGTCATCCATGGAGCGTTCTCGTTACCGATGTTCTTCTTGATGAGCTTTAACACATTCTTCAGGAGCTGATTCATATGTTCTCCGGTAACCATAGAGACGTAGGATCTAATTTAAAAAATATCTAACTTCAGATTGGGTTATTATCACAGTGTAGAACAATCTACTCATAGGATTGAGTGAGAGTACAAAGTCGGAGTGAGAGAAATACGACGGTGTGCTGTTGCGGCGTTGTCGGTATGCCTTTCCCTATCAAGTAAAGTAAAATCACGATCACAAACCGCTTATTTTTAAGACTTTTTTTTCTAAAAGATAACTAGATAAAATCATTAGATGTGTTTCTAAGCATCTGAGAGGGAATTTTAAGGATATAGTTAGGGTGACCATTTTTTTAGAACGAGAAAACGTCATCGCGAAAATTTAGAAACTCAACTTTTTAACACATAACACGCCATAACTTAAGAACCATTTTAGAAACTTTTTTTATTTTGAAAATAGGATCTTTTTACAATATGTTTAAATAAGAAAAATTCGACAAGATTGCTCTTTTCCATTCAAAAATTTTAAATAACCCATCCATTTACTTTTAGTGCATAGCAATTTTCAGCAATCGTGTAGCTTTTTTATTTATAAAGATTTTCACATACTGTCTGTGAAGAAAATATAGCAGAAATATTAAGAACGTTTCTGAAAAAAACTACAATCAATTATTTCTAATGGATTTCGAGATATTGATTTTTGAATTCAGAGTTCTAATAGCGCAATCGTCTGTCGAACACTAACTCAATTCCACTTATTTTTGCCAAAATGCAAGTGTTTCTAACTTACACTTAAAATTTTGTAAGCTATAGGGAAAGTTACGACTTGTTAATAAATAAACAAATAAAATATCACAAGACGTAATTAAATCGTGAAGCTGAACGCATGATGTACACCTTTCCCTAGAACTTTAAGTACTGACAGAGGTACTGATTGGGTCGACCGGTCAACTGCGACAAATCTGCTATATTCCCTTCCACGTCTCTCAGCAATGTGTACAGTTTCTCGGTTTATTTCATACGTTTGGCAACGTGTTTACTGTTCTCTCTTTGTTCAGTGCATTATAAACGCATTGTACTCTTCTTACATACGGAAATGTCGACCCAAGACTAAACTTTGCCAGCCCTTAGTATAACACAATTGTATTATGGAATGAAATACCTTCGTGACATTGTCTCTAATGCTAAAATTTTTCACGATGTTTTGACTTGTGTTTAGAATTGAGGAATTTGTAGTGTTTCTTATACTATAGAAGTTACTTACCCTCCAGTAGGACTGACATTATCTGGACCCTGTGACCACCAAAACGGCAGATAAGAACACAACATAGGCATAATAACATCAATAATATGAGGAGCATCAGAATAAGTCTTGTCGCTCTCCACAAAATGATCTACTTCAGACAAAATTGTTTCCAAAGTAGGCATAAAAGCCTCCATTTTCACTATAATATCTTGAGCTTCAAGTGAATGGTCTGCTATACGGTTCAGTAAAGAAAATTGATTGTTTTTGTTCAAATGTGGCTCCAAAAAGGCTACAGGAAAGGTGGAACTGAACGCTCCCAAGCAGGAACCAAGAGTAGGTTTGTATTTTTCCATTTCTGTTTTTAGGTACTTCCTGTCACGATGGAGTGTAGCGTCTGTGCCAAGATGGAAGAGGCCTTGGAGAATTTTATAGGAAGCTACCTGAATTTCGTCCACTAAAACAAAACAAATAATATATTTAACGTTTTACCGATAAGTGTAAGTAATTCTTACATAATAAGTCGCTTCCATATTCACAATTAGCCAAGTGATCAAACAGTGAAGTAAGAACAGGCAACAACACTGAATTCACGTAAAACAGTGATGTGGATGTTTTTAAGTGCGTTCCTCTTAGGTGACTGTATTTTCCCTAAAAAAATTAATGCTTGAAAAGATGCTATACAGGGTGTGCCCAAAAGTTAGCTACAAATGGTATTTTTGATATTGAATTTATAAAAATAGTTTATGCGAAATTTCCTAAGCATATTCAATATCAAAAAAAGCAATTTTAACATATTGTAATCGCAAAACATTTTCCGATGCACGTCATCAATCATATCGACATCGACACTAAAGTCCTGACAAAATGAAATTTTGGTAAAAATGTTTAAATTTGTTGTACAGCTCTTCATTTTACTTTATAGAGTTAATGATTGTAACAGATATTTTATTTAGATTAAAGCTGCAAAAATTAGTTTAAACCGAATTTTATTATCGCTATGTTGATCACATTGCGCCGTGTTCAGCAATGTTGTCCTTTATTATTTGACAATTATCCTAGTGTCAGTCATTATTTTGTATAATATCGTGTTGTTATTGAATTTTTGTGAGAAATTCTCGTTTTTTGCTTATTTTCATAGTCTTTTTTTTTAAAAATCGCACTTTTAAGTACAAACAGTTTTTTTAAGAACTAAATTTTCGAGTTTTTGTATTGCATTTCTTGAAATTGTGCGTTGAAAATATGTCGAAGCATTTAAACAGTCGAAGCAAAGAGCCTGTATCTTCCCTGTTTTTTTAAAAACTATTTCGAACGAGAACGGACCTTTATTACCCTTATAGAAGGTCCTTTATTACCCTTGACTGCTGTCAGAAAGGTTTGATTGATAAGCATATTATACCACTTTCGAAGTTCGTTTTTATTAAATTCTGTGATTATTAGTTTGTGCATTAATAGCACCCTCTTACTTGTTATTACCACTTATGGCGTTTTAAGACATTAATAAATAAATAACCCATAATAACACTTATAACAATCTTCATATTGGACTAGTTTTTGCTAATATGTAATAAGTAAAATAAGCTAAAAAACAAATAAATCAATTAATCACTAAAATATTAGTTATTAAATTAATGTTGTTTGTCAATTTTAAATTAAGATTCATCTTATAATAAAAATCATCAATTAAAATTATAATCCATCACAATCTGGTAGCGCTGTCGCCATCGCTTGTCACTCAAAGTTGATCATTGCATCGGAAAAGTTGATCAGTGCATCAGAAATTGTTTTGCGATTACCATACATACATGTTATGTATCAAAAGAAATGATGAAACCGCCAAAATACTAAAATGCTTTGAATATAAAAAATGTTCATTTTTTAATTCTCCATCTAACAAAAAAATAATAACAGGATGTTCCATTTAAAAAAAAAACGAAGAAAAACTATTTTATATTTTAGAAAATATGGCATAGAATTTTAAACACCCTGTATGGTTTAAGATTACGATATTTATAGCAAAGTAAGTACAGATCAACCAGATTTTTTTTAATCTACCGCCATAAAAGTTCACAGGTGACATATGTCAAAATGATTTTTTTTTGTTATTGAGCACACTGAAGAAGGTCGCGTTTTTTACACACCCTGTATTATGCTTCATTCAGAATACTTACCTCTTGCAAATTTATGATCGTATGCCCCAAATCGTCAGCAGTATTATTGAAGAACGTCAACATCGATGTTCTGATGAACTCAGGACAATTTTTAACAAGAGACTTGGCATCAATGCCTTTGACCAACACTTGTAAGCACCTCACTGTAATTCTGACGTCAGCTCCAAAAGCGGCCAACCTGGATCTGAGCAAATTAGCCAATTTACAGAACAACGCTGCTACCATTTCTTTCTCCTTCAAACTGGCAGCTCCGGTGTTGTTTGTAGCTGTGGCAACAGCGATGAAGTAGTTTCTATGAGTTGAAAAATATTTCTCCATCAACGGTAGTACAACTTTGGAGAAAAATTTGATATCTCTTGATGATTTAGTGTACGAGTTTCTTCTGCTGAAGGTCTGTGAGGGTTTGAGCAACTTCATGTTGATGGTGGCTTTATCCAGGTATTGGATGAGCTTTTCGAGTAGACTGTAAGCAAAACGGAGTTCAACAGAGGGACCTGCTGTGGATAATTCTGTTTCTTGTTGACCTCCGCGATTTGGTCTGTGAAGTTTTAAACCTTGATACTGCAAGTACTTGAGGAATTCTTGTGAACGTTCTCTGTCTTTTTTCTTTTCTTTGTCTGTTAGAAGATCGTATGGTACTAACTGAGGGTGAATTCCACCTAGAATAATCATCAATCAAATGAATAAATAAAATAGAATAAAAAACAAATAGCAAGATATGCACTCTGATTTCGAATTTTTATTTTCTCTATTAAACTTATGACGTAGCGTGGCTGAGTACTCTTGGTTTTTGAGACGGCAGCGTTAAGTCTGATTTTCATGCGTCCGTTATCCGTTGATACTGTGGTCCGGCGGCGCTCTGATTGGTCATAGCGTTTTCGCGCCACTTTTCATCCGTAAATATTTTACTCCAGCCCGTCAACGGAGAGAGATTGTACGATAACGGACGTTTTGACACTTTTTGACTTAAGTTTAATCTAACCTTAATAAAAATATAATAGTACCACCGTCGGGAAAACGAGAATTTTAAGAAAACTGGTTCTTTAATAAATCTTTTGCTATGCTCTCCTGACCAAAGTGCGGGCCGTCTGGCTGCCGGTAGACTACTGCGGTTCACTACTGCGCATCACAGGGTATCCCATTTATGTGTGTTTTATAGGATTTCACGTTTATGATGAGATTTTCACATTACTTTACTACTTTTTTATGAAACTAAATATGCAACATATAAGTTTCTCCTAGCTTCCTTAGTTACCTCCTTGAAATACAGGGCGAATTTGTGATGCGCAGTAGTGAACAGATGTTGAATACAGATATGATGCGCAGTAGTGAACGCAACGTCTACTGGCAGCCAGATGGTCCGCATTCTGTTTAGTAGAGCGTAGCTAAAGATATATTAAAGAACCGGCTTTCTTAAAATTCTCTCTCAAAAACATTGCTAGCTCTTAGACTATAAGTAAAACAGCGAAATCGTTATGGAAATAAAAATATAAAATGACACCAATCACAAGCAAATCGTATATCCGATGAACGGAGACATGAAAAAGCAATAAATTTTAAAATTGCATAATTTTTTAACCAATCGAAGTCTTTAAATTCAACCAATAAAATTAATATCGTATCATCGTATCGTTGGACAACGGCATGAAAATCAAGTTTTTTTCTTCAAGGTATTAGAGTTCTGTTGTTTTAAAAATCGCTACAAAATTTAATACAGACAAGTCCAAAATCGGAGTTTTACTCAATAAAAAAAAATAACCTCCACAAGTGTTAAGTTCCTCCTTCTTCTTCCTAGCCCAAATATCATGAGCATTCTCGGCCAATCGTTCAGCCATATTCTGCATCTCCCTTGACAAAGTTAAATTCGTCATATCCACCGGATGTGGATCATAATCAAACGGCGTCGCACTCTCTCCTCTCATAAACTGAGACCCTCTGTTCGAAGAAGGAAGATCCACTTCAGTATGCTCTACTGACCAGCCTAACGCTAACAAAGCTTTCAACGACTCTCTTACCGGCTCCTTATATCGCTCTCTTTCATAATCCGTGAGCATAGAGTACGGTTTGAGCCTCGGATGAGACTTGTTACCTTCCCAGCCAGAATACTGTTCTCCGTATCTCCAACCGTTTTCGAGCTTTCTCGATGCCCAAGCATCGTGGTAGTGTTCAGAAAATTGCTGAACTATATTGTTAAGATCGTTGCTGAGCTGTACAGTCGATGTATTGATGGGTTGCGGGTTATAAGGACCATCAGGACCGGTTTTGACAGTTTTGTTCGAGTACCATTCGTCATCGTAGTTTTTGGACAGTGAATAATCAGGTGGTAAGGCACAACCAATGGCGGTAAGGCATGGTAAAGCCTTTCCAAAAAGTTCTGGCTCATAATCCATCTTAGAAAGAGAGTCGAATATATTCGAAAACAACATCATAGTAAGCCTTTTTTCCTCATCACTGGCTGCTCCATAAATACCCTGACCTGAACTTGAACCATAATACTTCGCACATCTGTCGTAATGTAAGGTTAGAAGTCTCAAAGCTACCGTAGTGTATTCAGATAAATTCGAGACATCTACTGTTAATTTCCTTAACAGTTTCAACAGCATTGATGGTTGTAGCTGACTGGTTAGAGCGACCAGGAAGTCTGATACTGCTTCTCTTTGACCTTTGGTCAGCATGCGGTTCTTTGACAGACGGTATACCGTGTGAAGAGTGGCATCGAGAAGAGAAGCGTAGTTTTCTGCTTCGCTGTAGAATTTACTGTGTTGAATCAGGAGAGGCAGTATGGAATTGCCTATATATCTGTTCATGCTTAGGGCCATGTCTGACTCACTGCCATCATGCTAAAAGGTATACAATAAGGTGATATAATAAGTAAATTAACTAAATAGACAGCTTGTGAGTCATGTACAGGGTATTTGAAAAAACATGTACCATCTCTCGTGGGGAGACTCCTCGCGTAAAAATAAGTTATTTATTTTAATAATACTTAATAGTTAATAAATAATAAAAATTTAAAGAAATTATTAAATTTAATAAAAAATAAATTTAATAATTTATTTTTTGATAAAAAAAATAAATTTAATAATTTATTTCGAATTATGTTGATATAAAAAATAAATTTAATAATTTATTTTTTATATCAACATAATTCGATTCTGCTTTGTTTTGTAGCTACAGGGTAAAATGCAAAATAAAAACACTAAATCACCACAATACACCAAAACACTTTTACTTTTACACTGGACGCGCGTTTCGCTAACCATGTTAGCATCATCAGCAGATGATTATAAACTGGATAGTTCATACAACACCATAATGATCATGCTGCAGATGATTATAAACTGGATAGTTCATAATCATCTGCTGATGATGCTAACATGGTTAGCGAAACGCGCGTCCAGTGTAAAAGTAAAAGTGTTTTGGTGTATTGTGGTGATTTAGTGTTTTTATTTTGCTGTGTAACACCAAAGGTTCCAACCCTCAACTGTAAGCTACAGGGTGTTAAAATCTTCATTTTTCTTAGATTTATAATAATTTTCTTCCAAGTGCTTTTAGCGATTTCAATGAAATTTTGGGAATGAAAGTTACTATAAGTGCGACATATTTTATGCTTAAAAAGTGTCTACAGATTCATCAGCGACGTGTATATGGGTTATCACTGGAATATTTTTCAAAAAAAACTGGGCGCCTTTGCCTTTTTTCCTTGTTCGCGCAGTTGTGGGGCAGTTTAATGCCGATTAAAAGTTGTCTCATGATATTTTGTCGAGTCCAATCTCCTTGAGATAAACACAATTAAAATTGTAATAAATCGAAAAAAATCAATATTTTGACTCCCTGTAACTACTAAACAAAGAAGAATTGAATGTAGGTTAATATAAAAACTAAATCTTATTTTTATGTGAGGAATCTCTCCACGAGAGATGGCACATGTTTTTTTGAAGCACCCTGTCTATTTCAGACAAACCTTCCTGTTTAAAACAAAAGTAGTCAAGATATACAAAACGGATTTAAATAGGAAAATGTTCTAGATTACCACTTATTTATTATAAAATTTTATTAATGAAAATATATGATCATTATGGTGTTGTATCAACACAAATCAATGTAATCTTAGTCTCTCTGTTATACATTGTGGATGAATTATATAAAAGTATACACAATTTAAAATTGATCCAGAAAAACAAGTTTGAATACTTACCCTATCCAGCATTGTGGCACATCTCAAGTCAGGTAAAAATGCTTCTTCCAGTAGCTTAAAGAACAATTCTTGTGTCTCTATACCGTAAACTCGTTCTAAGAACAGAACTATAGATTGCTTGTGAGGCGGTGTTAGACCTGAAGGCATATCAGATTTAGGTCTTTCCTCTCCTTGAGCAGGGTTGTGTAGTGTGAACTTGAGACTAAGCACGCCTTGGAGGTCTTCTAGCGGCACCAAAGACCTCAAGATGGCTCTTGCTCTTAACGATTCGTTTTTACCCTGAATAAAAAAACAATCTAATTGCTAAAAATTTTACAATAAAGAAGATATATATTTACCAAGGCGATGACTGCAGCGTCGGGAGCACAACGACCTAGAAGGTCTACTAAAGTACAGTAGAAGTTAAGGATGGCTGCTCCGGTGTCTATGTAGTCTTCATCATCGTCGTTTTCAGGGAGTGGGTGGGAGAATTGGGCGAGATTAACAGTTCCTTCTGGCGCGTCTTCCATCATCTTTCTTCTGTCAGTAATTCTGTCTGACATCTATAGGAAAAAATTTGAAGGGTAGATAACATAATTAAGAATAAGTATAAGATAAAATTAAACACATAAAAAAGAGTCTAATATTATTTTTATATTCATGTATTAGACATTTTTGATTTTATATGATTTCTTATTTGTTTTATATTTGTTTTATGCAAAATTACAAATTTGGGAAGAACTCGAATCAGATTGAGAATTGAGATCACTGGGAATCAAAAATAGAAGCTTATGTAGAAAGCTATCGTTATACAATGAAAAATAACTGAAGAACTTTTCATTAGTATGTATTTATATATATTATATGTTATAACAAGATCACACATCAATTTTGGCGCCCAACGTGGGACAAACCTCATTAGTCCGTCATTTTTTATTTTAGATAATGTTACTTGATCTTTTTACTTAATACGTTGTGTGATATTAAATGTCCCTACACCACATAATCTTTTTTTTTGTAAAAGAAATATTTACAAACAGAATATGTGTCTCATATATCAACGATTTATAAAAAATATCTTCTTACCTTGTTTGCATCGACAATAGCTTTCAATAAACCTTCCCCTTCACCTCTCAGGGCTGGACCTAAGCATTCGGGCCGTCTAATCAACAGCCTTATAACTAAGTTAGCATTTTCCTCCACGCTTTCTCCGTTAACCCAAACGCAGAACCTTAGAAAATCTAAGTAACGCTCCCCTTCAACTGGATCCCATCCTAAATCTGGATAACCCTGGAACATTTTACATATAAATATAATCCTTTTAAATTCGAACAGTTTACCTTTTCTACAAGCTCAGTATTCGACTGTAGACCACAACGTGACAAATATATCGCGATTTTTTCTAAATAGTGTTCCCTAAGAGCCAGTGCTAGCTCAGTGTTCTCCATTAGAGACGAATAGGAAACGTCCAGAGGTGTAGAACCTCTAAGACTTGGTCGGGAAAGGAGGATATTACTGTTGTCCAATAAAAAGTCGAAATGCTCGAACATGGCCTTTTGGTTTTGACGACCAGTTCTACAAAAGTAACACAAAAACCTGCAACAAGCTACCACCATTTCGTGTGAGGTATCCTGTTAAAAAATAACTTATATTAACCTATACTCGTTTTGAAAACAGAAGAAATTACTTTTTCTTTGCCAGTAGTCTCGCCATCAGGGTTCTGCGGCTGCGCACTGGCATCAGACTGAGCCTGTGATCTTCTACCGAGAGTGTTGATCATAACGGCCATCACATTCTCGTGAATTCTTAGAACTCTGATCAAATCAGGATGCTGGAAGAACGTGTGGTTGTTCACGAGCTTCCAAAGCCGTTCCCTCATAAGTTCTTCTTCTTCTTGAGACATTTGGACAGGTAAAAGTGCTCTGATCTGGCTCAGACCCACCCACATTTCGGCTACGTCTGATTTGGTTTTGATATTGATGATGTAGGTTTTTTCTAATGCACGAATTAGTTCTCCAACAGCGTCGTACTGTCTGACTAGTAAACTGAACATTTCCTGGACTAGTTTCGAGTTTTCTATTTGGGCTTCTTCTGCCCACCTGACTATGGTACTGATGAGTACTTTACGGAATACTTCTTCCGGTGTTTTTTTTTCTGGTTCTGTAAAAAAAGGTCTTATAATATACTGCCAGTTGTTTGGCATTAAGAAGGTTGTAATTTATTTTCATACTGAGTAAAAATGATTTTTAAATGGTGTAGTTTAAAAAAATAATTTTTTAAGAAAAATAAATTTTATGGTAATTTTTAGTAAATAACGTCTAGAGATTGACCTCGCCAAAAACTATAATCGATTGTCATTAAAAGACGACAATGATATATTGTGACAGCAATCTTAAATATTAAATATCTATTTTTTCAACAAATTTTTTTATGCAACTTATGAACCAACAGCATTGTGAATGTGTGTTCAAAAAAATGCTGTACAAAAATATAATATACTCTCTTATTTTCAACTTTTAAAAATGACGGTGTCAAAATAGACATATGTTTGGCCTTCTAAGTATAATATCTAGGGAGATTTTAGAGATATACTATACCTGGCTCTGGTTTAGGTTCTTCTTCCAACTCCTTCACAGCATTAATGAAGTTGTAAAGCTTATTTAATGGACCAGCTTTAATTTTGTCGTCGGAATTTTCCTCATCCTGTGGTGCAGCTAGCGCTTGTAACGACACGTGAGACATCAGCTGATCGTGAAATCCGTTCATTCGTTCACAGAGATCATCACCAAGGGGGCAGTTGTCTTTATCCTCTTCCTCCAAGTTTTTAAAAGCTAAAGTCGAACGATCAAGTCATTCGTGCTTTCATAGTATTATTTTTTAAATCACTCTACTACGGGGGTCTACATTAACTCTAGAAAATACTAGTGAAGGGATTCTTATGCTACATTCAAGGCTACAAGCAAGTGCTATTTTTAAGCCACATAATTTCAAACGCAAAAATAGAGACTGATCTCTATCCATCGCAATTAAAACGGGATATACTAAGCCAGGGGTCCAAATTCTACCAAATATCAAACCAGTCAAGGTCAAAATTAACAAACCACGTTTTCTTGTCTATTACTTACTAATTTAACATGATTTATTTTGTTATAAATGAAATAATAATAATTAGCGTCATTATAATAACGGTAATATTTATTTTCTTCTACACTTCATTATACTCTTGAGTATTATAATAATAGAATATCATAATGATATACTATAAAAATACATAAGCAAAGAAGGGAATGTTTTTCGATTTGGTTTTGTTCTAATTCATTACCTGTTGTCTTAATTTTGTTAAATATTAAGTTTTTGTGAATTAAATTCAGTTAAAGTGTGCAACCATCGTTCAAATTTACGTCATACTAAGGGATGGCAAAGGTTAGTCTTGGGTCGAAATTTCCCTATTTTAGAAGAGTACAATGCGTTTATATAATGTACTGAACAAAGAGGGAACAGTAAACACGTTGCCAAATATATGAAATAAACCGAGAACTGTGCACATTGCTAAGAGACGTGGAAGGGGATATACCAGATTTATCGCAGTCGACCGGTTGGCCCAACTCTATCAGGACCTTAAAGTTCTATGGAAAGGTATACATCATGCGTTCAGCTTCACGATTTAATTACGTCTCGCGATACTTTATTTGTTTATTTATTAACGAGTCGTAATTTTCCCTATAGCTTGAAAATGTTTAAGTGCAAGTTAGAAACACTTGCATTTTTGGTAAAAATAAGTGGAATTGAGTTGATGTTCGACAGTGGTCGCGCTATTAGAACTCAAAAATCGATATCTCGAAATCTATTAGAAATAATTGATTGTAGTTTTTCAAAAACTTTCTTCACAGACAGTATGTAAAAATCTTTATAAATAAAAAAGTTACACGATTGCTGAAAACTGCTCTGCACTAAAAGTAAATGAATGGGTTGTTTAAATTTTAGAATAGAAAAAACAACCTTATCGAATATTTCTTATGTAAATATATTGTAAATGATCTTCAAAATAAAAAAAGCTTCAATATTTAAAGTGGTTCTTAAGTTATGGCGTGTTATGTGTCAAAAGTTGAGTTTTTAAATTATCGCGATTATTGACGTTTTCTCGTTATAAAAGAAATGGATCAGAAACATATCTAATGATTTTATTTAGTTACCTTTTCGAAAAAAAAGTCTTATAAATAAGCGGTTTGCGATCGTGATTTTACTTTACTTGATAGAGAAATGCGTACCGGCAACAACGCAACAGCACACCGTCGCATTTCTCTCAATCCGATTTAATAAGATTCCCTATGCCACTTACTTCCACACATGTAAATACCGACCCAAAAGTAACAGTTGCCAGCACGGTATATTGTCGGACTTGGGTTCATGTAAAAAAGGAGATAAAATAGATTGTAGACATCACGGTCTTGGGCAAATCACAGCACATTGTTGCTAGTAATTGACATTTCACTTTTGTTTCATCAATCCTGATGAAAAGAAAATGTCTAGTACAGTAACAGTCGATCGTAAAAATAAATCTTTATTACTGAAACTTATATAGCAGCAAAAATTTACTAGAGAGCCAACCTACTACTTGTAATTAATAAAAGCGAACGCGCTCAATTACTAATTTCGGAACGTATTTGCAATTTTCTGACCAATATGAACTGATCTCAGAGACACCCTAAATCGGATATTAGATAAATGATGACGTAACGTTGAATACTTGTTGTACAGACTATACCAGAATTTTATAACTAACAGGCACAAATTAGGCCAATATCAAAATCAAAAGTAAAATTTCATGGCCTATTTAAATATTTCTTAATTATATGGTAGGTAATAATTTATAAAAAAGATTGATCAAAAATGAATATAAAAAATAAAAAAAGGAATAACAATAAGTATGTAAAATATTAAATTTACCAATATTTTAAATGGAAAAAAAATAACACTTAAAATATAATAATAATAATAATAATAAATAATAATAAATAATGTTTATTCAAACTGATCCAATTACAAAGTATATACAAGACTTATACATAACTTACGAATACAAAATAGTGAATAAACATAATATCCTCTTAAGGTAGAACCTTGTCTGAGGAGTTTTATTTCTAGAACAATAACTACAATATTTTATACTAAATTCTTAACTATATCTAAATGTATCAAATTAATATATTTCATTGTCCAACACTTAAGCACGCTAAAAAACAAGTTATTATACAGCGGTCAGATATTGACATAGGGTAGATTGCAAGTTCTAAGGCATATAAGATTACATTATTTTTTTTTTCAAATATTATATTTATTGTGAATGGTTTTTAATATTTCACATTTTGCTGAGTATAAATGTATGCATTTCGGTTATTGTTTTACCAAGTATCCATTCTTTTAATCTTTTTTTAAAAATATTAATGTTTTGACAATTAACAACTTCTTTAGGTAAAACATTAAAAATTTTAGGTCCTACATATAAATGACTTTTTTGTCCGATAGTTTTATGCATCCGAGGTACATTAATAGTTAATTCGAGTCGACGTAGTGGGTATGAATGTGGGATTAGATTATTTTTACTTCTGTTACTGAATGTTATAGATAATGTATTAAACCAAAATAATTGTTTAGCGTCAAAAATGGCTGCTTCTATGTATAAGGCATCAGAGGGATATCTATAGTTTTTATCGTATATTATTTTCAGCAACCATTTCTGAACTATATTTACACTTGATAATTGATTTTTGCTTGCTGAGCCCCAGGCCACAATACCGTATTGTAAATGGCTCTGAGCTAAAGCAAAATACACATTTCTTAGTAATTCTATAGGAATTACACTTTTTAAAAACTTAAATATTACAATAAGTGATCTTAACTTTTTAGTCACAAACTGAATATGATAATTCCATTTCATGTGGTTATCAAAGATGACTCCAAGATACTTAAATTTGTTTGTTGAGCTTATTGTCACTAGCTTATTGTTATAAGTTATATCTAAATTGAATTTTGGAAGAGTATCTGAATAGCAGGCAAAAGGTAAGAAGAAAGTTTTCTTAAAGTTAACAGTAAGAAGATTATTATTAAAGAAATTGCACACTATTTCCATTGATTTTTCTACTTTTGCTTTCAATTGATTCCAACACGTTGATCTGAAGAAAATTGCTGTATCATCAGCATAACTCAAAATGTGTGCATCGAGTTTCAAGTTTAGTAACTCATTAATGTATATACAAAAAAGTACAGGGCCCAGTACAGTGCCCTGAGGTACACCATAGTTGACCACCCTTTTCTCGCTTTTAACACCCTGGATGGACACGCTTTGCTGTCGGTTATTTAGATAGCTCTAAACAGATCGTTGGTCCTTCCTCTAAAACCCATATTACTAAGTGTGTATAACAGGATTTCATGGTGAACTGTATCGAACGCTTTTGCTAAATCTACAAAAACACACAAAGAAACCTCGGATGCATCAAGTGCCTCCGAAGCCAATTCTGATAGTTTTATAATAGCATCACTTGCGGATTTGGACTCCACGAATCCATATTGATTTTCGGAAAGGAGTTTAAATTGTTTCAGATACAAACACATTCTTTTTTTAATAAGTTTCTCAAGAATTTTGGAAAAGTTACTTAATAGCGAAATTGGTCTATAATTTGACATATTTGTTTTTTCTTCTGATTTAAACACAGGTTTAACAACAGATATTTTAAATACATCTGGAAAAGTGCCATTATTTAGAGATAAATTATAAATGTACGTTAAAGGTTTAACAATAAATTCTTTTATTTGTTGCAGTGTGTTTGCCCGAATACCGTCAAATCCTGGAGATTTGTTCTTTTTTAAATTTAATATTTCGTTTCCGACTTCGTTTACATCAGTCTCCAATAATACGAAAGAATGTGAAATATTTGTAACCTGATACATTTTTTCTGTTGGAACATTAATTTTAGAGGCCAACTTCGAACCAATTTCGCTAAAGAACTCATTAAACGTATTTGCGATATCCAACGCATTTGTCACACTCACGCCCTGTTCATTCTTGATTGACGCTATTTGGGATATCTGTCTATCCCGACCTCTAATATTATTAACTGTTTTCCACATATTACCTGACGACATTTGTTGCTTTTCAATTTCTTTTTTATAAAAATCCTTTTTGGTCAATTTTATTATGTCATTAAGATGATTTCTATATCTTTTATATCTATCAGAAAGCTCCTTATTGTTTGGATCTTTTAATGTCTGTTTAAACAAATTATGTTTTGTATTTATTGCATTCAAAATCTCATTTGTTATCCATTCCTTTCTTTTTCTATTTTTATGCGTTGATTTAACAATGTTAACACTACTATCAATATGTTTTTGCAGTTTATTAACAAATAAATCTGCTACGGTATTCGCATCTCTCCCATTGTAAATATCGACCCATGTTTCTTTTTCTAATTTATCATTTAATTTTTTGTAATTAATGTATTGTTTGTGTTTTAAGGACTCATTTATACATTTTGTTTCCGATTTAGTCTTGAATGGATATGTGGTAGAAAATATAACTGTATAGTGATCGGTAATATCTGTTCTAAAAAGTATAGAATTAAGCAGTTCATTTGGAATTTGAGATTTTATAAATATGTGATCTATGCACGAGCCTGATGCTGGTCTAGTAATTGTGTTTATATACGACACATATCCATGTTCATTCATTACATTCATATATTCGTTAACAAATCGTTCAGATGTATCGTGTAAATTAATATTCATATCCCCTACAATAATATTCAGCTGACCCTTAGCAGTATTTCTAGAAAGTACTGTTTCTAAGTTTGTGATGAAGTCATATGGATCTGTAGAGGGGGGTCTGTAGATTGCGATTATCTCAATTATTTGGTTATTAATATTTATATCAATTTTCAGTGCCTTATTATCTCCTATATCTAGTATTTTATAGGAATAATTTAACGAACATTTTATAAGTACTACTACTCCATCATTTTTATTTAGACTTCCTTCATTATATATAATGTTGTATCCCGGTATCCATATAAATCAATATTCCAAATTTTAAAACTTTCAGTAAGTACTATACAATCAAATTCAAAATCTATTCCACGTAAAAGAACAAGAAGCTCATCAAAATTGTGATCTATGCTACGAATATTATTATGAAAAAGTTTAAATGATGATAATTCAATGTCAAATTTACATATATTAATGTCATCCACCACATCTGCCTCAATCAACCTTGTTTCAAAGTCCCTAATATATGAATTCATTGTTATCTTATATGTTAAGCTTTTAAATATTTAACTTGCAATCTGACCCATATCGGAAACACCTAATTTTTCAAAAGAGAATAAAAGATAAAATATATATTTTTTTGTTTTACAATATACTCCAAATACCTTTAATAAAGAAACAAATAATCTATATTGGTTTATAAACGTCCATGTATTTACTATATATTTAAATATTAATAGTCTATTTATTTTTAGCCCAACACCAAATTAAATTTAAACATATAGTATATTTTAATTATTTAAAAGTCCCAAAAGTGCAGAGTCAAGTCGCGATATATGCTTATATCTCCAATTAGACTAAAATTACAAGGAAATTGTAGCCGCGCACAAACGAGCGCCATCAATGTATATAAATAATTCACTAACGTTTTGTTTAAAAAAAAATGTCTCTTTACACTTGACGACATCTTCATTTCTATACCGGCTTCGAGTAACTTCTTGTTGCTGGTCTTCCCTTATTAGTTGAAGGTAGGGATGCGGTTATAAGGCCAGCCGAACCCCTGCGAGTTTGCGTAGTCGATGTCCCGGATTAATGGTAAATTCAATAGTACTGGTCGGCTTAGCTTTTGGATCCGGATAGTGAGTTTCTTGCTTGTGACGCTCTATAGGTTGTACAGGTTGTTCGTTGACGGGTGTCCCCGGAGCACTTAGGGATGGTCTAGATGGAATATCGGTAAAGACTTCGCAATCAGATTCGTTACCTTTATTTCCTCTCTCCACCAATTGTTCGTAATTATAAGTTTCGCTGCCAATTACAAGAGTATCCCTTTTAATGTACGCCCTTAAACCCTTTTCCTTTGCCTCTTTTAAATTTTGTTTGAGTACCTTGTTCACCACTCTCTCTTTCTTGGAAAGATCGTGGTTAATAAAAATGTTCTTTCCCTTCAGCTTATAGGCGCTTCGAAGAATCAATGCCTTTTTTAAATATGAATTGAGTTCTATACGTAGCGGTTTCGTTGAGTCGTTTCCTAAGTAGTATAAATTGTTTATATCGCTTATATTTATATCTACTTCTAACAGATTTCTTAGTTGCTCGGTTACCCAAGTAGCTAATTCAAAGTCCTTTAGGTTTCTGTGGTCCCGTAGCCCAAATATTATCAAATTGTTCTTCCTAGCTAATTTTTCTAGTGCTTGTACCCTGTATTCTATATCGTTTAATTTACTTTGTATTACAGTAATACTCTCCTTTAGAACTTCCGTTTGAATTGACAAATCCTCTCTCACCGTTTTAATGTCTTCTTTTAATTCTTTTTTGCTGTTCTGTATTAAAGATTTGATTTCTTGAAATTGTTTGAATATGAGCGTATCTACCATTCTTACGGTGTATATTATATATTATAATATCTGTTACTCAAATAAAAAATATTGCAATTGGCAACGACGTCCGCTGTACTTGTCCAAAACTAGGTCAAATAATTATTGTTAATCGATTTATGTGATGGTTCAAAGTCCAAAGTTATTGCCACGGCGGGGCGTTTTCTAACAAATTTGCCTTTTTAAAGATGATTAGCCGTTCTAATTATGGCACTTCTTTATTTAAAGACTAAAGACTTACTTTGTCAACTACTTGTAACACTGTATTTAATTTATTCTAGCTAGGAACCACAAAAAACTCAAAAAATTTCTCCGCGATTACAACATTAATCTATATATTTTTAGTGATTATGTCAGAAAATAATTCTTTTTGATGAATGTGGCTAGTGCTTTACGAAACACAGACCTGGTCATCCCAAATTTGATTATAACATAAATAACATATTATGACCTTTATCTGTTAAATATATAGACCATGGATTCAGAATGTAACCAGATCGGTATATGAAAATTTATGTATAATAAACTTAACCTAAATGTTTATAAATGTTAATGTATCTATTTCAGTGTTACCATAAGATCGAAAAAAAAACGGCGTCAAAGACGGGTGAGGAATAACAATTGATAATCATTTTGGAGAGGTCAATTACTTAGCCTGCACCCTTCTTTATTTTTTAATGGCGCTTAAAAATGTTGTAATTTATTTTTATTTGAGTAAAAATGATTCTTAAATAGTGTAGTTTAAAATATTTCTATAATTATATTAATTTTGAAGTTTTATGTCAAGTTTTAGTAAATGACGTGTAGATACTGGCCTTGCCAAAGTTATCATGGATTGTTATTTCTAGCCATCTATTTTTTTGATCATATGGTAGGTATATTAAAGCTTCATTCAGAACCTCGCAATTAGTGGAATAAATTAGTGGTTTCAATTAGCGTAGAAGTGTGTTCCTTTAATTTCAATGTAAGCATTCAGAACGTCAAAATTAGTGGTAGACATTTTCAATTAGTAAAAAACACTGGTTTTCAAAACTTTTAACTTTTCCATTAATTATACTTCAAAATTGGCAAGAAATGTCATTTTGGCCTTTGATTATCTTCCGTCAAGAGCAATTCATTATTAAAAGCTAAATATTAGGCTTTCTCTATGGATACAACTGACTAACGCAAGCTGTTGCTAGGATATTCTACTAATTTTAATTGTGTTTTTTAAACGTTGTGAATGATCGTAAACTAAAAAGTATAAAGTGTAATTGAAACCACTAATTTATTCCACTAATTGCGAGGTTCTGAATGAAGCTTAATACTGACATTATTGTGTTATATTAACATAAATTAATAGTTACTTTTGTATCTAGTGCGCGAATTGCTACTCTGGTGACCGATACTTAAATTTTTTAACAAGGCGTAGCCGAGTTGAAAAATTAGTCGAGATCACCAAAGGAGTTCGCGCACGAGTTGCAAACAACATTTTTTCTACAAACACTAAAATCGAGATATCCCTAAAAATTATTATTATCTATCAATAATAAAATTCAAATATCAAATAAAATTTTAGAGTGTCAAATACCGGGATCAAGTACCTTTACATCAAAATTGGATAGTGTCTCAAGTCTCAAAACCCCCATAACTCAAGCAAAATCAGAACTATCTAGTTTGGGATTAAATATTGGTTCGTGTACTGGTTGTACTATTAATGTTAATATTGTAAATAATAACTAGAATATGCATTAGTGTTAAGTTTGATATTAGTTATTTGTTTATTCTTGAATATTTCGAAATAAATAATTCATGATTTAGTTCTTCATTTTCCAAAAATCAAAATTCCAAAATCCCATATAATTTACATGCAGTGTACGAAAGAGGCATTTCGCGCATTACTTCGCGCACCGTGTCATGATCACGTAGAAAAATGAAAAAAAGTGTCACTTCACACATTGCTATCAATTCGCGAACCTTGTCATTTTTTGACGTTTGTAGAAAAAATACTTTTTTTAATATAAAATAAGATTCTTTTAGGAACAACAAAATTCAGTCAAATTTAAAAACAAAATATAAGGTAATGTTATTAAAAGTAGTTATAGATCAGCAGTGTTATGTTGCAATAAAAGCAAATTCCTTTTTAGTGAACTGATGAGCATGATGTAGTGATTAATGATTATTACCAAATAAAAAGACATAACATAGTAAACATATAGTTTAGCAATATCAGTCAGGCTGTTTCTCCTGCAAGAAACGTCCGTGTTAAGAGTAGTAGCTGCCGTTGGTGGTTGGTCAATTTTCACGTACCTTGTTCCTTAAACTTACACAAGATGGCGTTCATCTGCTCCCTTGGCGGACACCGGAACTCCTTCGTCTTCTTAGCGGCCATAGCCGAGGGCAAATCCGACTGCTTGATCTCGATGTATCTGCGCAACTGGTCGGTTTGAAGTTCTCCGACGAAGTCGTGGCTGAAAGCGATGATCGATTCGACTCTGTGGCGCAGCTGGATGTCGCACAGGTGGTGGAGGAGGTAGCACATTTGGAGTTTGGCCCCCTCGGCCATTTTCATCGAGAGTAGGCCTTTGCGGTGCTCGTCCTTGCCGTCTTTTTCGAAGGTGGGGTCCCACGTTTCGGGGCAGATCATTATCAGGAGTTTTTCCACGTGGTCGTCGCTCAGCATTCCTACTAGGAGCAGACGGTCTACTAATTTGAGTAGAGGTCTGTTATAAAGGTAAAACAGAATATTTAATAAATCAATAAAATACATACATACACCGGGTGTTTTTTAAAACTGGCTCACTACTATAACTTTTTTATTTTTTCCGATAAAAAAAAACTAGATTTGGTATGTTAGTATATGACATAAATCAGGATTGATTGGCGTATTCAGTTATTTTCGGTCATTTCCTACTTCACCGGAAATGACTGTAACTTTTGGTTTTAAATGGTACCTTCGTATTTTTCCTCTATTCTATTTTTTTCGTGATCGTGTAATGTTATTTTCCTGGCCACCGTTATAAGGTGCCCAAATCGTAATTTTAATTATAACTAAATAATTATTTTCAAATAGAACAAGAGTAGCTCATTAGCATACTTGGAAAAGGCATATTTACGAATTTATTGGGACCACATACTTGGTCTTTCATGTAATAAAATTGTCGTTCTGAATATAGCCAAAGCACTCTAAATTAAAATTTAAAATACTATTTATAATACCTATGTAATATATAAAACTCTCGTGTCACAGTTTTAGTTAACATACTCCTCCGAAACGGCTGAACCGATTTTGATGAATTTATATATGTATATTCAGTAGGTTTGAGAATAGGTTTGTCATCTAGTTTTTATACCCTTAAGTGATAAGGGTGGTCCACCCTATTCTTTTATTTTTCGGACAATTTTTATTTTTTATGATGTGGCATTAAAAAATACATACAACCCTAAATTTTCACCCTTCTACCATCAACCCTTATTTATTAAATAGAAAACAAATTTCTTGCAGTATAGGTATACAGGGTGGCCCATCGAAAACGTTCCGCAAGGCATAACGGCCAGGGTCATTTTTTTTCAGAAAATCCAACAACACGTCAATTTTGTTTGTGAGGGGGACAACTTTTGCCCCAAAAATGATTGCAAAATCTTCAACCCTCTAAGCGGGGGTGTCATCCCCCAACTTTTTGCAAATGGGAAGGGGGGTCAAGTGGCACCGCAATGAAAAGAGCTTTCTCTTCTCTATATTTCCCCGCTTCGTTTTTGAAAATCGGTCGAGTCATTGAGAAAATATTGTTGCGGGCCGGTGTGGACTCGACCTAACCTCACAATATGGCCCGCCCTCGGATGACCTTAACATCGCATAGACACCGCAATGATTCATTCGTTCGAGAAGAATCGAGACCCACTAGAATGGACTAGTACATACGAGAACATTCGAAAACCTTCTCTATGCGCCTAACGATCTTTGGACTATTCTAGATTTCTTTTACCTGTCGGTATAAAAGCCGGCGGCAGTGGCCTAGAGAGGGCAGTTATAAATATACCAGTGCAGTTGACGCGCTAAAATTCAAAATAAATTCTTAGTTATAAATCGTTTGTAAATAGTTCTATAAGTCTTTTATCGTTATTGTTTTCGTTAATTAGTGTTAAATAAATAGTGTTTAAATAAATTGTGACTTTCTATCCACACGGAACCGACGAAAAACGTAACAATTGGTGTCAGGTGTGGCGTGTGTGATAAGAAAAATAAAAAGACTAACAATGGCTCCGAAGAAATTGTTGAAAGACTTGAAAGTGTCCGAACTGAAATCCATATTGGAAGAGAGAGAGTGCGAGACAGATGGAAAGAAAAGTATTTTGCAAACCAGACTGAGAGACGTTTTGAGGGAGGAAGGCGAGGATCCGGACACATTTTGCTTTGAGTTCGAAGGTGACCTTGACTCGTGCCTACAAAAATTAGAAGATAAAATGACGGAAAACTCTCAAAAATTAGAAGACAGTTTGAATGACAAAATTACAGAAAATTCCCGAGAATTGCAAGACAATTTAAACGGCAATTTGAATAATTTAGAAGATAAAATCAGTGATAAAATGATGAAAAATTCCCAGGATTTAATTAATATTTTAGAAGATAAGATCGCAGAAAATTCTAAAGATATACAGGCCAGCTTTAATAATAAAATACAGGAATTAGAAGAAAAGATAATAGATACACAAGATAAAATAACAGAGATTGAGGAAGATGTAAATAGAAAAATCGAAATTTTAAAACAAGAAATAGAAAAGGCCAATTCACCAAAATGTCAAGAAACATCGGAGGCACCGAAACTAGTCGAAAATAAGTATATCTCAAAGTCAGTTATTAAGCCTCCACAGTTTGACGGAAAAACCGCTTGGGCCAATTATTTTTGCCAGTTTAGGCCGCTGCGAGAGCGAACGGATGGACAATCGCTGAAAAGGCTACCGCTTTGACTGTCGCACTGCGAGGAGATGCGACTGATATCTTGCAGACATTGTCACCATCGGAACAGGGAGATTATCAGCAATTGGTACGACATTTAGAAATGAGGTACGGCCAAGCTCATTTGGAACATGTCTATCATTCCCAGTTAAAAAATCGCATTCAAAAGTCAAATGAGTCTCTGCAGGAGTTTGAAGCCGACGTAGCCCGCCTCGTTCGCCTTGCGTACCCTGCTACGCCCGAGAATGTTATGGAGCGGTTGGCAGTACAGGCATTCTCCGACGGCTTACGTGATAACGAGACGAGACAAGCACTTCTCCTAGCCCACCCAACGCACTTGGTGGATGCTTTAGCACGTGCCCTAGAATTTGAGGCCGCGAAACAAAATTCTCGGTCTTTAGGAAGAGTACGGGCCATCGACGAATGTTCCGACGAATCCGTGGAAGGGATTGTTCGGAAGGTAATGGACCAGTACATGGGCAAGAAGGGACCGATTCGTCGAAGGGTCGAAATGAAGGGGCACACGTCGACCTGTACCCAACATGCCCCAACGAAAACTGCTCAAGTCGCTTCGCTACAACACAAATTCAACAGCATTTTTGTGGATGGTTTTGTTGATGGAGAGTTCCGGACCATGCTCGACGAAAACTATCAACAGACCGGACATTCTTAAAACATCGAAGAAGGTTAAAACAACACAATGGCGACTACGTACTGCTACGGGGGGCTCCGCTGCTGTCCATGGAGAAGTAAACCTTAATTTTGTTATTGGGAGCACCAGTTTTGAACATCCAGTGTTAGTAGCAGATATCGAAGATGAACTTATTCTCGGAATGGACATTATGACCACCAAAGGTTTTGAACTAAACTTCAAACAGGGAATTTTGAAAATAAATGAAGAAGAAGTGGTTCTACATCGAAAATGTGAGGAGACGCTTCGCGTGGTGGTAGCAGAAGATGTTTCGATCCCTGAGCGCTGTGAGATATTTTTGGATGGTTGCCTGGAAGGTAAAATGAATAATGGGAGTATTATTCTGTTGGAGCCAAGGAACCATGACAGCGAAATAGGACGAGGGGTCGCTGTTGGAAAAGCCCTGCTACGAGCGAAGAAGACTGTACCGGTGAGAGTAATGAACACGAATTATTATTCTGTATCCTTGAAGAAGGGAACCCTGTTAGGGTACTGTTGTTCGGTCTCCTCAGTCATTCGAAGCGTGGAAGCCTCCAAAGTTTCGACTTCAAAAATTCCGGACAAAATGGTGAAGGAGTTAGTAAACGTTAAAGGATTATCTCCCGAAAATAGTAGAAAATTGAGAAACCTAATAATCAAGTATCAAGACGTGTTTGATAAAGGAGAAGCAGGAGATAGAGGTCGTACCAATTTAGTACAACATAAAATTGACACCGGAGATGCACGACCAATCAAACAAAATCCGAGAAGACTTCCGCTCGCCAAACGTGAAGAAGCTGACAAAATCCTTCGAGAAATGAAAGAAGAGGGTGTCATCGAACCATCTAACAGCCCGTGGACATCGCCGGTAGTACTAGTAAAGAAGAAAGACGGTACCACCAGGTTCTGTGTTGATTATCGGCAGCTCAATAATGTTACCAAGAAGGATAGCTATCCTCTGCCGAGGATAGACGATACTCTAGACACACTGGCGGGGTCAACGATATTCTCTACATTGGATCTGAAGAGTGGATATTGGCAAGTCGACATGGCGCCGAAAGACAGAGAGAAGACAGCGTTCTCGGTGGGCTCCGGACTGTGGCAATTTACCGTCATGCCTTTTGGATTGTGCAACGCGCCAGCTACCTTTGAGAGACTAATGGAGTCTGTGTTAAAGGGACTATCCTGGACTACCTGTTTAGTGTACCTGGATGACATCATAGTGGTTGGGAAATCCTTTGACCATCATCTGAAGAATTTGGAAGAAGTTTTCAAGCGACTAGGAGTTCTGGTTTGAAACTTAGCCCCAAGAAATGTCATCTGTGTCAAGAAAAGGTACACTACTTGGGCCATGTAGTCTCCTCCCAAGGAGTTGCGGTAGATCCACAGAAGACCAAGACAGTGGAAGAGTGGCCGATACCTAAAGATAAACATGAACTACGAAGCTTTTTGGGACTATGCACATACTATCGACGCTATGTACAGGGTTTCGCCACCATCGCAAAACCATTGACCAGACTTACCGAAGGCGAGAGGCGTTTCTCTTGGGACTCAGATTCTGACGAGGCATTCCGAAAACTGAAGAAGGCCCTGACTAGTGCGCCCATACTTAGCTACCCTTTTGGCAACGGAAACTTTATATTGGATACCGACGCTAGCAATGTTGCATTAGGCGCTGTTCTGTCTCAGATCCAGGATGGTCAAGAAAAAGTCATTGGTTATTTTAGTAAGACCTTGTCAAAACCGGAAAGGAACTACTGTGTAACCAGACGAGAATTACTAGCAGTAGTTAAAGCAGTGGAACACTTCTACAAGTATCTCTATGGAAGAAAGTTCTTGTTAAGAACAGACCATGCTGCTTTGAAATGGCTGTTGCAGTTTAAGAATCCTGAAGGGCAGGTAGCTAGATGGATTGAACGATTACAAGAATTTGACTTCGACACAGAACATCAAGCTGGGGCAAACCATCGAAATGCCGACGCACTTTCCAGAAGACCTTGCGCTAAGGACTGTAAGCATTGTTCCCGAGCAGAAGAGAAAGAAGTGAAACTCCTAAGAACAACTGTGGTTAATGATAGTTGGCAACCCGAAGATCT